TAAGCTGATAGGACGATAGTTATTAGGATCCAGTTTGTTCCCTTTTTTAAAGATCGGTGTTACAGATGCGGTTTTCCATATAGGAGGCAAAATATGTGTGGTGAATGATAGGGACATAATCACATATAGTGGATAAACTAAAGCATCAGAACATTTCTTTAAAAATAAAGAAGATAAGAATAAAGAAGAAGAAGAAGAAGAAGAAGTCGAGACCAGGAGACGAATTATTTTTTAGGCTTTGAAGATGATGTTTAACTTTTTCAGGAGTAATGATTATATTTTCAAGAGAAGAAGAAACTCGTGACGAAGTAATATTAGGGAACTGATAATTAGTGGGTTCAACAGAGAAAACCTTGGAGAAAGTACTGGCGAGAAGTTCGGCATTCTCATAGTTATTTTGGGATATATCCCCATTATCATTTTCCAGTAAAGGTATAGAAACTTTTGTTGTCAACGAAGATCTAATATACTTGTGCAATTTTTTACAGTTATTACTGATGGCTATACTCTCTTCGTAGGCAACACGAGCTTCATGTAAAGATTTCTTTAAATCTCTGGCAAAGTCTCGATGAATTTGTAAATCCTCTATGCGATTTGTACGTCTATATTTGTTCCACAACTTTCTTTTATACTTGATCAGATATATTAATTCCCCATTAATCCAAGGTTTTATGTTATTTTTGTATATGGTTTTTTTGAGGGTATTTTGGTTTTTGCATAAATTAACAACCTGTAAGAACTTATCCCAGAATACAACTGGATTCCTTATGTCGCCGAAAACATCATTCCAATCAATGTCGGTCAGTTGGCGATTTGCATTTTCAAAATCAATTATTTCATATACCGTTTTATTAACATTAGGATTAGGAGTACAGTACTGTAAGTTAAACTGAATATGAAACGTTATGACTGCATGATCTGAGTTACCTACTGGAGAGCTTATTAAGGGATGTGTTAATAAATGGGGATCATTAGAGAATACCAAGTCCAAAATAGATGTAATACTTTCTCGTAGTTTCTTTTCAACCAAGCTGCCAAACTGTTTGTTTTTTATTTTGTTAGTATTTTAAAATCGAAACTATTACAACTCCAGTTAAAAACAATAAAAAATGAAAAATAAATGAAATGAGGTTGAATGCTCGAATAAATGAACTTTGAAAATAAGGCTATTATCGAGCACAAGTTAATTAAATCTAGCCCAAGTACTTTCGCTTAAAATAGCATCTTCAGGGGCATTTCGTCAAAATATCCGGCAAGCGTAGAATGTGGAAACATTAAAAATAACATAAAATTGTACAAAACACTACACTAAACGAGGACAAACGGTTTAAAATTACTTCTACGCTACATTCTCTGTCAGTATCTGGAGGGATAAAAACAATAAAGGTCACAAACGAATTTGCAATTCATCCACATGGCGGCAAAATATGCAGAAAAAATGGCATACGTTAAAGAACGTACCCCATTTTATTTATATTTTTACTCTAAAGATTGGGTTTAAGAGCAGATCCGGATTCAGATTTTATTCATATAATTTGTTTTATTATTAAAACTATTTTAATATCTTTGTGGGATTAGTACTCACCGGAGGGACCGCAGACGTTCGGATACAATTAACGTCTCTTGGTAAAGACTGTCATTGTAAAATCAATGGCATCATGCCAATGGCCATTAAAAAAAACTATTTTACATGTTATGAAAAACTAACAAAAAAAAACTAATGATTCGCTCAAGCTACTGTTAATTGTATAAGGTCAGTATTACAAATATTTCTTAAAAAATAGTTCAACTACCTAAACGGCCATGAAGCAAAAACAACGTCTGTGAAATGCTTTGTAAGGAATAGTGTAGTAAAGCAAAATATTCCAGTGTGCCAAAAAGCCTTTTTAAACATAATAAATATTACGAAACATCGCCTCACATACATTATGAAATCATTTTTAAAAACAGGAGAAGCACCTACGGAAAAAATTGCGGGGGTCACAGAAAAACTACACATTTTAACAAGAATCAGTTCAAAACTTTATTAATACTGTTTAAAAGTATTCAATCGCATTACTATCGCATTTATACACGTACACACTACCTTTCTTCCGATTTGTCAATACAAAAAATGTTCCAAATGTATATTAATCAGCGTTCTCCCGAGGAGAGAGTAAAACCATCATACTTTAGAATGATTTTTAATACTCAGTATAACCTTAGTAGGTACCCGTACGGATGTGTGTTCCCTATGCATTGAATTTGCAGAAAAAATTAAAAGGTCTATATATGAAGAAGAGAAGAAAAAATTGATTGTTAAAAGAAAAATTCATAAGCTAAGGGCTAATGCACTTTTCTAGCTGCTTAAAGAGTCACGAGATGATTTGATAACACTAACTTTCGACTGTCAAAAAAACCTTGTACTTCCTAAGGCCCCGACCAAAGTGCCTACTACTCTAGACAACTGTATTTGTATAATTTTACCATAGCCCAGGGAACTTCTCAATCAAAGCTTATTAAAAAAAATGTATTTTCGTATTCATGCTTTCCTTGTTATTGTTATGATAAAAAATTTTAATTTAACTATTTTTGTAATTAAGACATTATCTATAAGGTCTATTTTGGTATTAAGTTTCTTAAGATTGTCTAATGCTAATAAACAATCAAAGTAAAACTTGAAAATGCTTCCGAAAAATGGAATTTTAAAATATTTTTCTACATTTGGAACAAGAAAAGATTTAGTTCTACCGGTATTAATAAAATTTTTAGATTATTTTCAGGAGTGATATATACTTTTATCTCTAATCACTTTCTTTATTTGTTAAATTTAATAATTCGACTCTACTTGGTCCGAGTCAAATTGCTCTAAAAAATGGTCATTATCTTCAGAATTACTTATTTCGTCTATATTATGTACTTCTAGAACTAAGAAGTTCTTCTGTAATTATACTTTGTGGTTATTTTGAAAAATAATTTTGATTACGAGGTTTATATTCGGTTTTGATAATGCTGGTTTGGTCTGGAAGTATTATTAGTTGTTAAAATAGTCATCGGAGTTGGGTTTGGAAGATTTTGTGCATCTTTCACACGCAAAAAGAAGAAAAGATGTGAAGTTTTGTTATATCATTATGGAACCCATTGTCGTTTAACTTGGTGCAGATAGCGATGACTCAGACATTTCTGATGATAAGTAAAAGTAAGTTATGTAAATTTGATTGATAGTTTTCACAAAGAACGTAAGATGAAATTTGATTGTGTTGTGGATATCTTTGGGAACACACAAATGTATTATTTGATGATGCCGTTTAATTTTATTGTGAATTTTATTTCGATTCTTTTATATTTGAACCCGAAAATGATAATATAGTAATTAATTTACTTCTAAAATGTACTATTTAATATACTAAAGTTTAAAATTTTATTGTCTATTTTAAAAATATTTTTGAGGTACATACAAAATTAAATATTAATAAAATTGATGTAAATATTTATTTAAAAGCTCGATGTCTATGGTGTTCCTCACGTCCTTCCGTTCGACACCGTAACTGTCTATACTTTAAAAATGTGTCACTCTGTAAGATTTCCAGATCGAATAGAGTGAACTTTCATTATATTCATTTAAAACAGATTTGTAGAAAAACTGCTCAAATTGTGAACTAAAACATGTTTGTTTAAAATCGTTGGTAGTGCAAATTGCTTAAGATAAATTTCACATTTATAAGGTCTTTCTCCTGTGTGAAGTTTCATATGTTCATTTAAATTATGTGGTTGAATGGACTGTTTAACATGAATTAAAGATTATAAGGTTTATCTCTAATGTGAACTACATTATGTTTATTTAAATTACTTTGTAGTGTAACATGTTTAAGACAAATTTCGTATTTATAAGGTTTTTCTGGCGTGAACTAGAACATGTTCATTAAATTACTTTGTACTGTAAACTGCTTAACAAATTTCACATTTATAAAGTCTTTTCAAGTGTGAGCTAGAACATGTTTATTTAAAATACTTTGTCGTACAAACTTCTTAAGACAAATTTCACATTTATAAGGTCTTTCTCCAGTATGAACATTCATATGTTGATTTAAAATTTTTTTATGGGTAAACTGCTTAAGACAAATTTCACATTGATAAGGTCGTTCCCCAGTATGAATTTTCATATGTTCATTTAAAACATGTTTGTAGGAAAACAGCTTAAGACAAATTTCACATTTATAATATTTATAATATAATATTTTTCCAGTATGAATAAAACAGCCTCTGTTACAAAATCAATCAAACATTAATTTGTAAATTTTGGTTTCTCATAAGCATGGTAAATGCCTATTAAATCTACAATTTTTTGATGTATAAACAAATTACACACACTATAAATAAAACTGACTACTAAAACTCTTTTTTAGTAGGATTCCATCAAAATTTACACAAATTTTATATAGGTAACATTGTTTTTTGAGAAGATAAAACTACCTTTGAAATTTGAATCATATGGATCAGAGTATTTGTTTGAGTCCACGTGGTCAATTTGGATTATTTTAGATATGTAACATGATGTTAATAAAAAGTTTAATTCGGTAAGTATTGTAACCTGAACTATTTGAACTGAAACTCCCATCAAAATGATCAGTTAATGATTCCGAAGAAAGGTTTGAAGAAGATGGAATATCGGGTTATTAATATGTTCAACAATATTCTCTACGTTTTTCGTAACCATCCCCTGTTGATGACGCTTAGAAACAAATCATTTTCTTTTAAACATACCTACATAATTTTAGGAAAAATTACACTTACCTTTTTGTAATAAAATAAAACCCAAACTCAGAAGTAACCTAACAAATGATACCAAATCTTTAACAATATACTATGATACTGTAACCAAAACTTTTGGCTTATTTCCAATAAAAATATTAAACTCCTTACTTTTTATTTTAATTTTATATACGCAAAATCTTGAAATTTGAATCATTTTCTATGAAAGGTCTAAATGATTAAGTAAATAAAACAACATTAAAATAAATGTGTCTTCAAGTCGATATATTTACAAAATGCATAATATACAATGAGCAAAAATAATTATATAAAAGATAAATAAACTTTCTGTAAATTATGCATTTAATTAATATTCATAAGGCCATTCACAATTACATAAACATATGACTTTTTAAATTCAAACATCTAATAATCATATGAAGGGGTACACAATTTTAGAGACTGATTTGTTTCTCAAAAGATATTTATGATATCATTTAGTCCGAATATTGTTATTCTTGAAAGTAATTATAATTGGTAAAAGGTAATAAGTATTATTATAATAAAATAACCATAAGTTTAATATGTTTTAAGTTTTTTAAAAATATGGTCATGATGGGTATGATTGTAGAATTTAAAAAAAACATAATTTAAATACAAAATTATATTTATTATTGGGCCACCGCTGCATTGGCTGCTATACTGGGACTATTGATGACTTCTCCCAAACTTTCCAATAATTCCTTTCTGTAGTCATCGAAGTCTCCGTCTAGTTCGTTGATGGTTTGATCTTCTATGATATATAAAGAGCAATTTGTTTCCCTATAACCGAAATTATTAATTAGTCAATACTGTTTTTAAAATACAATATAAAGTTAATAATATAGTTTCAATATCCCCATATTTAATATGAACGATGATATTATTTATGAAGCAAGTCTTAATTATTGAAAGTAGAGAAAATTCAAATATTAAGAAAGAGGCCGAAACAACGATAAAGTAGTCATAACAATAACAAACTGGAAGTTGCGCTAATCATAACTAAATACAACAGTACCAGATAATTAGGAAGCAAAGTTCATTAGAAAGCAGAGTTCTTCCAAGCACCATGAAACGGAATTATAATACAGAAAGACGGTATAACATTTAATTTCGATTAGGTCGCTTATACGTATTTCAACCTCTTTAGGTCTCATCAGAATGACATATGCAGTTGCTCTGAATCGAAACAAAATCTCTCCCGCCATAGGACAATAATTATAAAAATAATTATTAACAGACGTTACAACGCCATCTAATAACAACCCTAGGAATTCTAAGATTTCCTACATAGCGAAACTAAATTCAAATCTTTATCACTATGCTTTTTAAAACTTGCAAAGCAGACAGATTGATGAACTAGTCGGCAAGGGAATCTATAATTTGCATTCCACATGCCGTTCATCACGGTAAAAATTCTTAGTAAATTTTCTGGTACTCGAACAGAGTAAAGAACTAAAAAAGAAAGACGATATAAGATTTAATTTAGATTGCAGGGCTAATTATTGTCCTACGAAGGGAGAGATTTTGTTTCGATTCAGAGCAACTGCATATGTCGTTCTGATGAGACCTAAAGAGGTTGCAGATGCCCTGTAATGTCTCTGTAAGTGTCCAGCTCTCCATACCATACAGTAATGTGGAGAATATGTAGCAGCGTATTAATCTGATTTTAAGGTTTAACGTAATATCTCTATTAATTAGATTTTTTTTAATTTATAGAAGGCGGCTCTGGCTTTTTCAACGCGTATTCTTATTTCTTTATGTATATCCCACTTATGGTTAACTGACAACCATAAGTTTTGTCTTAGAAGTATTACGTTTTAACCCATATTCATCACACGCTTCGGTTACCATGTTTATAAGTCGTTGCAGGTCTTCTTCATTTTAGGCAATAAGTCCATAGAGTCTCCGTCTTACAGCCTTGCTAAATAGCTGGCCGATAATCTACAACCACACATAGGAAAAAACGATGCATTTGTAAAAGACTCCGCCCATTTCATCGAGAAGATCAAAGGAATAACTTTACAGGAAGCTGACATTCTTGTTAGTTTTGATGTTGTTTTCCTATTTACAAGAGTTTCCGTAGAACACGTTTTGAATTTAATTGAGGGACTAGTCTCCAAGGATATGGTGGAATTATACCGTATTTGCCCCACTACCACCTACTTTTCATGGGAAGACCAGATTTATAAACAGGTAGATGCAGTAGCAATGGGAAGCCCACTAAGCCCTGTGGTAGCCAACATTTTCATGGAGCATCTAGAAAAGAGGATAATGAAGTCAGCATACAAGCCAAGGGTATGGTTTAGGTACATCGATGATACTTTTGTGATTTGGGGTCACGAAGTAGAAAAACTTAACGATTTCCTGTCTTATATAAACACAATAAATCCAAATATATTCAATTTACGATGGAAACAGAGAAAGATCAATAACTAGCGTTCCTAGATGTATTGGTAAATCGAAAGGAAAGCTATTTAGGACATAAAGTGTATCGAAATTCTACACACACCGACCGATGGGACATCGACCTAAACAAGAACTCAAATCATCATCCAGGCCAAAAACAAGTTATCATCAAAACTCTGGCGGAGAGAAATTGTGAACCACAGCATCTGCAAAGTGAACTTCTTCACATTGAAAAAGCGCTCACCTCTAATGGTTATACCAGAAGAGAAATACATAAAGAAATAAAAAACGTTTCTAGAAGAAAGGACGAAGAAACAGAATGTTTAGGCAAAACGTTCTTGCCCTATATATCGGGGGTAACAGAAAGAATTGGACGAATACTTAAAAGAGCCAATGTAAAAACCATTTTCAAGCCTAAAAACAAAATCAAGGACTGTCTAAGACCAGTGAAGGACAAACGCGACCCATTAGCAACGGCCGGAGTATACCGAATACCATTTACATGTGGAATGGTATATGTGGGAACCACGAAAAGACACACAAAAACACAAGGATAAACAAACATAAAAGCCATTGTCGTTTAGGACATATCGACAAATCTGCCGTTGCCGAACACGCTTTGGGAAGCGAAGAACATCGGATACTCTTTGAAGAAACGTAGATGCTGGATAAAATATCCCAGTACTACCCACGGGTATATCGGGAAGCGGTGGAAATATATAAGCATCCAAATAATTTAAATCGGATAGAAGGACTAAAAATTAACAAAACATGGATACCAATATTAAAATTCACAAATGCCCTTCCCGCAAAACACGAAAAAAGAAAAGCAACGAACGACGACACGCCCCCTCACGCAGAAACCAGTGGAGGGGAGGCAAATAGAAAATATAAATATGCCCCCCGTAGTACAACGCTGCGTCAGTTTCAGCTTACAAGCGAAGCAGTAACATCTCCAGAAGATGCCAACCCCTAGTGTTGATGAAACATCGAGAACTAATCTTAGAAGACAACAGCCCGAACAAACAATTTTGCGTGTTAGCAAAGAAAAATACTAGGCGAATCTGTTTACAATGAAATCCATTTCATTGTAAATGCCGGCAATTTGACATTCGTTTTCGGGTTAGAATCCTGTAATTTGAAATGCGCCCTAAAGTGAAGTACAAAATCTTTTTTAATGTTAACTTTGTTATAACAATAGCTCTGTGCCAGTACAATAGCTCTAACAATAGCTCTACACTTTACTATTATAAGTTAGTTTTTTACGTACAACATGACGAGTTTTTATAGAGCTTTGTAGTAGTTTTTATTCATTCTTTCACGTTTAAATAAAACTTTTTCGCATTGTTATACATCAATACTACTACATAAAAACAGTTAAGCTACTATTTCAACACTAACATTTTAATATTTTGACCACAGTTACCAATTGAATGGTGTGTTTTGTTTTACACCTTATTATTCTTCATTCACCATTCATTGAACTGATGAAGCTTGTAAATTCAATAAGCGAAACGTCTTCAAATTATTATTTCTCCTTTTATCGATATCCTCGTTGACCAAAAGATTTATTTCTTTTGGAACTTACTCATTGTATATATATATATATATATATATATATATATATATATATATATATATATATGTAACTTAGAGCTAAGATTATAGTTCACAAATACCATATCATAATCTATGTATTTTAGCTATAAGCAATATATACAATAAATTTAATACGTCATACTAAATATAGTACGTTTTTATCCAACTATATACATATTGGTGTCTAACTATTAGAATGTTATGTACACAGGTTAACACATTTAAAAATCAGCTTGGAGAAACTCATTGAAAATTTGTATTTTTCTGATTATAAGATTTATTTTTTGAAAACTAATTTAAGTGTCTAATAAGTTCTGTAATTTAAGTTAGACTAAACTGTTTAGCAACTTTTAATCTTGATTGATTCAGTTATGACAGTATGCGAATGATTCAGGTATATATTTACTCACTAAAGTTTTTAAATCATCAGAATTAATCCGAATATGGGTAGTTTTCTGTAAATGTAAGTGTTTTTATTGCTCATTTTGCTTTTTCTCGTAACCCAAATTAAAAAACGCCTGTAGCAGGTGTACCACATGAAGCTATTATACTTGAAAAAGTAATTTTCACTGTTTTGGCATATTACTAATGATCATTTATTAAACTTTTAAATAAGTAATGGATTCGACCGTTAGTTGATGGAAATTCATTCAAAGTAGTCCTGGTTTATGCAAATTTCAAGAAGATGTAAAATTTCAGATGTAATGATTGAATTTGAATGTAATAATCAAATATATACAAATAACCGCGCATGACTCATAATGAATAATCCTCTAAGCCGTCTAAGCCTATTGCTATCAGATATTTTTATGGATCATCTAGAGACAAAGATTTTAAAATATTATTACTACGCTGTCAGTAGTGACAGTGAACAGTGTAGTAGTGTCTAGGGGCTCGGGAGACTGAGACCTCGGAAGCCCTGAGGACTGAGGAAGGCATCAGAGAGGATGCCGGAAGCTCGGCAAAATGGATATCGACGCGGTTCAACCCGGAAGACTGGTGAGTTTGATATTAATTTTAGTAATAATATTAATCTTAGCTCTAAGTTACATTGTACTAACTGCGGAAATCTTTCCGAACATTATATATATATATATATATATATATATATAATATATATATATATATCCGGTCATGTTAATGTCGTTAAATTACTCTTCGATTACAATTTCGTATCTTTTAGATAAAAAAAATTCAGAAAAAAGAAATTTTTATTGAAATTATAAAACCGAGATACTTTATTATTCTTCACGAAGATCTCTTGTGGAAACAATATTGGTATATATTATTTTCTTACCTGATAAGTCGCTCGTCGTGAGACACAATTATGACTCCTCCGGTATATTCGTTAATTGCTTCGGCTAAGGCATCTATGGATTCTATATCTAAATTGTTCGTCGGTTCATCCTAAAATTATAGAACATTAAAACTGATAATACTACTTTTAAGTATTTTTTGTCTTACCAAAATTAATACATCGGGAGCATTTAAGCAGAGTTCTGCCAAGGCTACTCTTGCTTTTTGACCACCAGATAAATCTTTCATCTTAATGGTATGTGCATGACTAGCTAATCCAAATGTTCCTAATTGTTTACGCGCCTTTTCATAGGGAAGATCGAAAAGACGCATTAGATATTCGCTAGGTGTTTCTTCGGCCGTTAAATGTTCACCAGAGTGCTGGTCAAATCTACCAATTCGCTAAAAATGTTTATAATTAAGTTTATTCATCTATGAATTTCAGTTACAAATAAAATTTCACTTCCAAACACTTACTAAGCATGTATGTAAAACATTGCAAAACGAAACTTGGAAAAACATGGTAACGTTACAACATACCTTTGTAGATATGCCAACAGGGGGCCTACTGATGAATATAGGAATTTGGTTTGATATAATATAAATGAACTGTTGGAACCTTATGGAGCAACGATCACCAGGTAGACCATGGAAGGAAATGGGAGAGGCCTATATTCGAACAAAAGTCGAATAGAAAAATGAACTGTTTCAAATTTTATAAATAAACGATTAAGTATGATACTTAGATAATCATTATATTTAACAATACGTCTTGATTTATATTAAAGGAATTAGATATGAAAAGATGAAGATGAGATGTTGACTACATATTCAATAGAATTTTAACCCATGCCAAGAGGAAAGTATATACCAAGTTTCAAGACAATAAACTTGCCCTTCAAGAGAAAGAAAAGCATATGAATATGAGAAGACATATTGACCCCAAATTCGATAAGTTTCTGCATTACGATAGTTATTTATCAAGTTTAGAGATTCTAGGACTTTTCTTTCAAGAAAAAGAGGATGGTACTATGAGAAGAAGAATACATGTTAAAGACTAAAAGTTGGTTTTTACAATACGTACCAAGTTTCAAGTTTGTAGGACTTTTCTTTCAAACAAAATGAAAGGGTTTTGAAAAGAAAAAACATATATATTGAAAAAAATGTCACGGAAACAATTTACTATTGAGGAACAGTTTGGAATAATTTGCCGAGTCGATTCCGGTGATTCCGCGAGTTCGATTGCCCGGGAATTTAAAACGTCACGCTCGACAATTGCTGGAATAATGAAAAGGCGAGAGAAAATTATTAAGCAATTTAATAAGTATGAAAAAGGAAAACGCGTTCGGTCATCAAATTACAGTGACATTGAAAGTGCTTTGCTCGATTGGTTTAAACAACAACGCGCAAACAATGTACCCGTGAGTGGGCCGATGCTTCAGGTAAAGGCTGATGCTTTCGCTGTGATTTTGAAGAAGAATTTTAAGTGTAATGCTTCCTGGGTTCAACGTTTTCGAGCTCGCCACAATATTGTCCATGGAAAAATTTCAGGTGAGTCAGCAGTTATTGACAAATCAATTATAAATGACTGGGTTGAAAATGTGTGGCCTACACTCAGGGCCGACTATAGCGATGAGGAAATTTTTAATGCTGACGAGATGGGGTTATTTTTTAGACTGACACCTGATCACACGTTAAAGTTTAAAGGCGAGAAATGTTCCGGTGGTAAACTCTCAAAAGAGCGTGTTACAGTTCTTGTTGCAGCCAACATGTCCGGTTCCATAAAAAGCAAGCTTTTGGTGATAGGAAAAAGTAAAATGCCGCCCTGTTTTAAAACGTGAAAAATCTCCCTGTTGATTATGATTTCAATAAAAAAGCCTGGATGACGTCAGCTATTTTTGAAAAGACTTTACTAAAATGGGACAGTGAACTTTTACAACAAAAGAAACACATAATTTTAATTGTCGACAACTGTCCGTCCCACCCCCCAGTTGACAGGTTAAAACAAATTAAACTCGTTTTTCTGCCTCCAAATTGTACGTCTCTACTGCAGCCCATGGACCAAGGAGTCATAAGAAGTCTTAAATCATGCTTTCGGTTTCTGTGCGGAAGGAAACGATCATCAACTGTTTTCGTTTTTCCGGCCTAACTAAAGACTTACAACCATCAGGAATGCCATTTCCCTTTTTAGTTCTGACTGCTCTGCAGATGACTATGTACGAGTGGATAACAAAATAAGTACGAGCGAAGAACTCTCAGATATTGACATCGTACTGAGTCACCAAACTAGTGACAAACAAAGTACTGATGAGGCTGATGAAGAATTGGAAGATTTCGGTAAAATCCCTACTGTTGCTGAAGCGTATGCTGCTTGTTCCACCATACGAGCATTTATTCAGACTGCTGAAACTTCCCAGAGTGTAAAAGAATCATTATCGATTGTTTCCACATCAATTGAAAAAATGTTTTTTTCAGAAGTTCAAGGCGACAAACAAAAATTACAGACTTTTTTCATTAAATATTCAGGTAAAATGTGTTTACATATTTTGTAATACATATATGTATGTATTTTTTTGTCTTTTTAAAATAAATAGTATATGTATGCCTACATTTTTATAATACGAAGATTTGGAGAAGCCGTTATATTATGTGTATACTTTATTCACTACTTATACTTATTTCAATACATATTATACATATATGTATGTACATATTTAGATTTGCTTAAGTACAATAAACACATATGTTAAATGTTATGTATATGTTATTATAACATATTATAAGTATAGTTAAAGTAACACATTTTTGCGTCATAACCCTAGGTACAACGAACTAACTGTCCCTATTAGTGTAATATCGTTTATAGCAACCTGTTCATTATAACCGATAGAACTGCTTACAGAGAACACTGGCTACAACGTACAAAAAGCACCAGTCCCCTGAAGTTCGTTATAAACGATTTTGACTATATATATATATATATATATATATATATATATATATATATATATATATATATATATGTTTGTTTTGAGGTTTCCGCGGGAGCTATATGTGCTGTCACTATTTTTCCGGGTTTGACTCCGCGTTGTAAAGTGCTGGTTTTCTCGAAAACCATTGTTTTGGCGACGTTTCGGCAAGGTCTCACTTGCCATTCTCAAGCCTGGTGGAACTACTTCTCGTCGTTACTCGATTAGTACTGGTCGATACTGGTCGATACTGGTAGACCAGTACTAATCGAGTAACGACGAGAAGTAGTTCCACCAGGCTTGAGAATGGCAAGTGAGACCTTGCCGAAACGTCGCCAAAACAATGGTTTTCGAGAAAACCAGCACTTTACAACGCGGAGTCAAACCCGGAAAAATAGTGACAGCATATATATATATATATATATATATATATATATATATATATATATATATATATACATTATCTTAATCTTAGCTCTAGGTTTCATTGTACTAACCGCGGAAATCTTTCCGAATAATTTTTCTTTTGCACAATGAAGACTACTTACCAATCTATGGTTTTTCCTATTTTCTCCTTTATCAGGAGATAAGTCTCCTGTTAATAACTTTAAGAATGTTGATTTACCAACACCATTTGGACCTACGATTGCAACTCTGCTGCTCATATCAATACCAAAATCTGTATCTACAAATAGAGGTTTTTGTCCGGGATAGGCAAATCTTGTATCTAAAAAAAATATTCTTATTATATTCTTGTATAATGTATAAAAATTTATTAAATTAGTAACATATAATGCAAACTGATAGAATATATATATTCAGTTTTAACAATAACTGCTATTATTATGCACGTTTTGTTCCTTGTCGTCTTCGGAGTATTTTATTTAAGTCTTTAACCATTAGAAATTATAATTAATTATTATTAATATACTTAACACTAAACTGACTTATCCAGTAGAGATAGAACAGAAATAATGGACAGATCTAAAATCGTAGTTAACAAAAATATCGAAAATGAACTGTTCAACGTAAAACAAAGCCTACATAAATTAAATATGACACATCCCGGATAGGACCGAATTTCAAACGAGTGACTGAAATTAATATGTGGGAAATTCAACAAATAATTAACTATTACGAGAATTAATAGTAATTAAATTAATATCAATAATAATTTCTTCGGTAACCCTGCTAAGATTAATGAATTTAAACTCATTTGGCTATCAAAATTTAAATGGTTGCAATAAACAATCAAAAATAATTCAAAGGTTTAGGTAAAACTAGGTGAACTCACTGCCAATTACCATGGGACACACCACTATACAAAACAACGAACAAAACGACTTCGGTCGCTGTGTATAAGTGCATCGGTCCACTGTGTTCATGGTCGGGATGCGTCTGTCCCTCTTAACGACTAAAACTCTTCTGTCTTAGCGGGATATATTCCCGAGCAGTACCGCACCTGAGGGATCGGGTGAATACAGGGGAGGACAAATGCATTGATTAATCTATACCACCATATTTAAATTTAAACAGTTGGCATTATTACAGAAAATTTTCTATCACCAAAACATTTCAAACGAATGGTCGACCACTAGCATTTTTATACATATTTATTTAAGAACAATACAGCATTTCCGTTATTGGCCCCAGTAACAGTCTTAATTATTGTTTTTTGCTTCGTTCTAATTCTGAGACTTTGATTTTGAAAAATGATTGAGATATCAAAACAAAGAACAAAAAATGAACACTGGGAACAGTTTACAAAATAGGTGGAAAGCGACTTCTACGGTACACAAAAACAAATATGGATATTCATAAGAAACAAACGGAAAGAAATGGCAGAATTAAAGGAATACAATAACAAAACAGTAAACGAATGGGAAAGATACCTGACAGAACTGTTTAACGGAAAGGAAAATAATAATCAACACAATAACATACCTGAATTAAGACAATAAAAAGAAATCAGTTTTCAGGAAACGGAGGAGGAAATATATCCTTAGAGATGACAAAACTTATACAAAAACTAATGTTGCACTGTAAGATACCAGACGCATGAAGAAACAGCATAATGGCACTGATGTTCAAGAAAGAAGATAAAAAAGAATAAAAAGTAAGCTAAAGTTCTAACCAATAAAATGAATAAACTAACAACTTTATCAGATCCGGAAGATCCTGCGTAGACGCCGTATTTGTACTAAGACAAATCACAGAAAAGGTCATCAAATACAATAAACCAGCATATCTATGTTTTATAGACCTGACAAAGGCTTTCGATCGCATCCAAGTCGAAGACGTCTTACACCTATTGTATAAAAGAAACATACCAATCAATATTATACCAACCATCGAAAACATCTACTTCTATAATCGATTACAGGCAAAGATAAATGGAAAACTAACACAGTGTATACCAGTAGAAAGCGAAGTCAGACAGGGTGACTCATTAAGACTACATAATACAATATAATAATGCAACTGAAAATCTGGAACTATTAAAAGGGTAAGATAAGAGAATATATGGAAATGCCTAGTAAAATACTAAAATGGGCGCCAGCTAATTTCTGAAGGAAATTAACGAAAAAATAAATGAAGTTGTGAAAAACAAGGAATAAAGTACTATTGATATAATAACCTGTAATAATTTTTAAAAACCGAAAAAGACACTATTGACCTTGTTCTGCTATATTATAACTGTAAGCAGGAACTGAAATAAAAGCAAAACTACTTGTAACAAATATATTTATAATATTGACACTAACAAATAACTCACCTATACATATGTATATATAGAAAATATAATTACAGTAGTAGGGCTACGGTATACGAGGACCAAAAAGCCACGACAAAATGAAATATCCCCACTACTGAAGCAAACGAAAAAATGTATTAGTAAATAATATATAATCTAAGTCCATGGGAGAAGCGAAATCTTAACACTAAGGTTAGTTACTAAAGTTAAGTCCTAGATAGGTAAGGTAGGGAATATAAATACTAAAAAAAACCGTGACGGTTATACAAAAGAAACTACCTTACCTAACAAATATACGTCTAATATGTGTCGAAGTAGCTAAACACCAGATCTATGTGTAAGTGATATGCTTACACATAAATGCTGGGAGATATCTAAAATGATCAAGGTGACTCATTAAACCCACTTCTCTTTAATATAATAATGGATGAAATAATACAAGCAATATGTAAAGGTCATGGTTACAGAATGGAGAACAAAGAAATCCAAATATTATGTTATGCAGACGAAGCCGCATTAATAATTAACGAAGCCGAGACAGAAGACGAGCTCCAAAGATTAACACACATCTTCAATACAACAGCCAAGAACTACAATATGATAATATCAGCAGAAAATCAAATTTATGCCAACATCTAAATACCCTTCTTCTTCTTCAAGTGCCATCTCTGCGGCGGAGATCGGCAATCATCATAGCTATTCGGACTTTTGAGACGGCTGGTGTGAAAAGTTCATTTGATGTACATCCGTACCACTCTCTCAGGTTGCGCAGCCATGACATTCTACGTCTCCCTATGCTTCTCTCTCCTTGGATCTTTCCCTGCATAATCAGTTGGAGTAAGGTGTATTTCTTTCCACGTGTAATATGTCCGAGATATTTTAATTTTCTTGTTTTTATTGTATTTAAAATTTCCATTTCTTTATTTATCCTTCCCAGAACCTCTTTGTTTGTGACGTGTTCTATCCACAATATTTTCAGAATTCTTCTATACACCTACAACTCGAATGATTCCAGCTTTTTCATTGATGTCGCATTCAAGGTCCAAGATTCCATTCCATAAAACAAAGTCGAAAAAACATAGCACCTCGCCAACCTAACTCTTAGTTCCAGTTTGAAATCTCTGTTACATACTCTAGTGGGTCCAGTGGGTGTAAATACACACTACGATGCAAAACCGAAATTGATGGCAAAATAATAAAGCAGGGAGCAAAGTTTAGATATAACTAGTTACGGAGATGTTGAAGAAGTACGACAACAAAGCTTAAGAGTAAGTAAAGCGGCGGGATCTCTTAATGACATAATTTGGAAGAACAAACACCTAAGACAAGACACAAAAACAAGAATCTATAAAGCAGCAATTAGACCTATATTAACATACACGGTACAGACAAGACCTGACACATCTAAAACGAGACGACTAGTAGAGATGAAAATACTTCGACGAATATCAAGGGAAAGTCTGTTGGATATGGAGAGAAGCGAAAACATGAGAAAAGCGTGCAATATAGAAGACATAAATGGATGGGTGACAAAAGGGTGAATGGCAGAGGATAGGATAGAACGAATAACACAAGATAAGTCACCAAACGGACGAAGAAGTATTGGCAAACCAAGAAAAAGATGGTGCGATAATTTAAATAATTTAGGAGGCTAATATTGAAGAAGAAACAGGCTTTAAAACTTACATACAAGAAGGAAGAAGAAGATTAATATATCTCACGAAGGTCTTGATCTTTTGTTTCTAAATGACATCGAAGTTTGGCCAGTTTCAAAGACAAAACTTCGTAGCATGTGACGCACTGAGGTCTTTCTTCACCGTTTAAATTAATGTATGTAAAACCGAAAACTAAGAATTCATCACAAATCTTATGATGTGTATTAACTTTTGAAGTCGATGATCTTTCTCGTCTAAAATGGAATCATTTGGCTTTAACGAGAGTTTCATGAATAAAAACGTAATATCTATAAAGTTATCTACACTGTAACGCAACCCAGAACAAAACAATGGGAATACGCGAATTAAATCTTAACACACAAATAATAAAGCAACCCAAGTGTAAGCTCACGAGCGTAACGGTTGCGACTTGCAAGACTTACATTTATTGATTAATTGACATGTCCATAGATAAGACCACGGACCTCATAACACATGCTTGCGGACCTCCAGGGTTCCGCGGACCACAGGTTAAGAACACTGCTATAGACCCATTTTTTTATGTCGTGTATTTTAAAGACTTTAGAGATAATTATCAAAGTTATATTAGAATGGTGGATACCTCACATTAAATTTTAGCTTGTCAAGACCAATTCTCTTATAGAAAAAGGGTTCGTTTCCTGGGTGTTCTTAGTACTCTTGTGATATATATTAAAAATAATTAATCCAAAAACAATTATCTTTTTACGCTTCTGCGCTTTTCCTAGAAGTACAAAGTGTATATAATAATAGAGTTAATGTAAAAATTATTTATTTTTATACATCTTTTTCTTCTTTTGGCATCATAACCTTGGGTGGGTCTTTGCCTTTCTGGCTATGTCCTTCCATTCAGATCTCTCTTGTGCCCTTCTTCTCCATTGTCTTATGTTCATTGTTTTCAGGTCATCTTCCACGTCATCCAACCATCTCGTTCTGGGCCTTCCTTTTTTTCGCCTTCCTATGGGCTTCCATTGAAATATTTTCTTTGTTGTTTTTGCATCGTTTTGTCTCTGCATATGTCCCAGCCATGACAGTTTTTGACTTTTCACAAATCTTACAATGTCATAACCTTCATTTAACTCATTAACCTCGTCGTTTCTCCTAATTCTCCATGTGCCATCTTCCTCTTGTACCGGGCCATATACTTTCCTCAGTATTTGTCTCTCGAATGTCCTGAGTTGGGCCTCATCTTTTTTCGTCATTACCCAAGTTTCACATCCATAGGTTACTACGGGTCTAATCAGTGTTCTGCAGATAGTCAGTTTGGTTCTTTTGTCTAATAGATCGATGTCATCAATCTTTTATTAGCATAGTATGTACGATTCCCGCTGGAAATACGTGCATTAATTTTGCTACTTACGGAGTTCTTCTGATTGATTTCTGTGCCGAGATATGTAAAGGCATCCACTCGTTCGATAGTATAGTTGTCTATTATAGTATTATTTTCATTGTCAGTTATTCTTTTGACTGTCATATACTTCGTTTTTGCTTCGTTTATTTTGAGACCTCTTTTTCTTGCTTTAGGATCAATTTGTTTGAACACTTCCATTAGTCGTGGCTTATTCCTACTAATGATGGCTACACCGTCTGCATATGCAGTAATTTATACTGATTTGGTGTTTATATGGCCGGTTATATTGGTTTTTCTGATGACTGCCTCAAGAACTAGGTTGAATAGCATGGTTAAACAGGGGAGTCAGTTCTCCATCTACTCTGACTGCGGCTTTTGAAACCTGCAACGTCATTTTATGAGGCTGATGTATTTCTTAGGTATACCTAGATTACAAAGGTCTTCCAGCATTCTGTCTCTTTTCACACTATCAAAAGCTTGTTTAAAGTCTATATACATATTATATAGGTCTATATCATAAGCTTTTTCTTGTATCGTTCTTAGTATGAATATGTTATCTGTAGTGGTTCTATTTGGTCTGAATCCATTTTGATAATCACCAATTATATTTTCGGAGTATTCTAATTATCTATCGTAGATTATACCAGAAAGAATTTTGTATATTACATTTAGCAATGTAATTGGAATATAATTCTGGCATTCCCTCTTATCTCCTTTTTTATATATTGGCTGTATGAGGCCAACTGTCCATTCCTCTGGCATTTGCTCCTTCGTCCATATTAATGTTATTAGGTAATGGATTCTTTCCCAGAGTTTGTATCCTCCATGCTTTAATAATTCTGCGGAAATTCCGTCCGTTCCTGGTGCTTTATTGTTTTTTAGTTTATTTATTATCTGAACTACTTCTTCATAACTCGGATTTTCGATGTGCAGCTCCGCCGTATAATATATTGTCTCGTTCTGATCATTTTCGTTGTCTGCATTTAGATTTTCTTCGAAATATTGTTTCCATCCCATTATAATTTTTTGCTTCTCTGTTAGTAGTTCTCCGTCCTTGTCTTTTCATATCGTTAGTTTTGGTCTAAATGACTGTGTGCTTTCTTTTATGTATTTGTAGAATTTTCTGCTTTCGCGTCTGTTGTTATGCTTTACGATTTCTTGTACTATTTTTATACATAATAACTAGATAATTCCGAACATTTAGTTGACACGATATTTTATTTTTCCGATAACACTGCAATTTAAAATTTATAGAAACCAAACCATTTCAACATTTTATTGTTAATGATAGACTTTAATGTATTGTTGATTCCGTTCTTTAATTCAATAAGCAAGATTGTGAAGATGAACGTTTTCAATAAATTTTCGTTTGTCCACATTTAATCGTTAGGGCTCATATACTATTTTTGATAACAGTATAAGATATATTTAATCAAAATTAAGAAAACAGTGGTTACGAGTGATTTTTGTACTTACTGTGTAATCCTAAAACAGGTGGCTGCAAAGGAGGAGGTTCTGGGAAACGAAATTTGACTAAATAATCTTTAGGTCTTTGTAATAGTTCTGTGGGAGTTGTGTCCTCTTCTTGTTTCTGCATCTTAGTTCTATTCTTCTCCTGTTTTCTAGTAAGGGCTTCTTTTTGTTTCTTTTCCTAAAATGTAATTTTTAATAAATACATTTTAAACTGAATTTCAATAACTGAAACAAACACTATTCTGACCGCTGCTTCCATTTAAAATACACATGAAATATGACTGCTTGATGTGTAGGACTATGTGAGTTTCCATATTAAATTAATAATTTTACAACATTACTGGAAATCAGGCAAAACATAATAAATCAATGTTTATTTAAATAACCTGCGTAACAAGTATTATGGTCAATAAAAAAGTAAAAGTAAAAGAAAGTAAAAGAAACACTTAAATTTAAACAGAATGTAATGCATTAATTTTTTAAATGTTTTGCATTGAAGCAGGTAAGGCGGTAAAAATGAGGATGATCTTCGCAGTCCGTACAGTACGTGGTAACCTTTTTTACTCTGGTTTTGGGTATCTCCCCTCTAACTTTCTTTTCGTAGCATCCTCTACAATATTTTCTTACAACAGCAGCCACTCCTTCCTTTTTCAATAATGTATGGTTTTTTATACTTTTTCTTGTAATCGATAGCCGTGGGACATCAGCATGTCTATTAGCTTCTAAACCCCCTTTTAGTAAGTTTGCGACAACAATCTCACGAAACTTGCTTATTGTAATGTTTGTAATTAGATAGTTCTTTGAAAATTATATGCGCATTTACAATAGTTGTGCCCAGTATGATTTCCATTGCGATCTTGCGATACCACTTCAGTGAACGACGTAAAGCAGAATTATAACTGACCATCTGGCCAGACAAATCGATTGAAGCTTTGCCAGCATTGTAATATATTATAGCTTCTGGTTTACTTATAGGGCTCGTGAATCTTTCAATAATTTTAGAAATGTCAGTATGCTTAGTTGATAAGATCAGTACATCATGCCACTTAATGATACAAATACCCCTATCATTTTCTTTAGCAAAAATTTCCCAGCAAATGCGTACGGTTATCTAGAAGAAGGTTAGCCAATTCAAGGCTTGCATAAAAATTATCGCTAATAATTATACTACCTGCATTTAGAAGATTTCTTGAAAGATTCATTACCACATTTGTAGGAACTGAAGCTCCCCTGTCCCTCTCTTTTCCAGCGTATATCTGAAAGTTTCAAGTGTAGCTTTTCCCACAAAACAGCTTGAATAGTTTCACCCCCTATTTGTGCGTTTTTTGGGGTATATATTATTTTATGACGAGTCTGTCTTGAAACGAGATTATACTCTCGTCGATGCAAAATACTTCTCCCGGAGTATAAATTTCTTGATATTTTTTATTAAACAAGTTCGCCAACGGCCTAATTTTATGTGAGCGGTCTCCTTCTTCGCAATCGTTGTTATTAGAAATGTGCCACATTCTAAGCAAAAGCTCAAAGCGAATTCGGCTCATGGAACTTGGTGCAATATCATTACGGAATAAAGAATCTTTACTCCAGTAATGTGACAATGAAGACATTCGAACTAAGCCCATGTACCCAAGTAGACCAATAAATTTCAACATTTCTTCCTTGTTCGTAGGTTGCCAGTCATGTAACCTTGATTTTGTGGAGATATTTATTGAAAACACTTGTTGTGTTGCATATAAGTTTGTTTGGTCGACCATCAAATCGATAATATTTAAGTCAAGAAATGCATAAAAACAGGAAACCGGTGTTACTTCATCTAATGAAATAGCTGATGCATAATTTGGATTGAAACCGAAAGTATTATCAAATTTGAATCGTTGGTGATTCCCGACATCTGTTTTCAGGTACAACAGCACGGATTTCAATTTTTCGCACCTTATTTTTTGGAGTAGTATCTTCAACTGAAGTATACGATAAATCAATATCTTCTGAACTTGAAGATACATACAAGTCTTTCTCAGAATCCAATGTGTACGAGTCGTTACCTTCCTCGTCAGTTTCTAAAATAATTCTAACCTCACTTTCAAGCGTTAGTAAATAACAAAAAAAATTACCGTTTTCTTGTAGTTTTTCCCTTGCTAATCGTAATAAATATGCACCACGTGAATTTGGCAGCATTTTCAATCAATAATCCTCTAAAAAACGTATTAAAAACCATAATAAAACGCAACACGTGTACTACAACACAAGTGCGTAAGCTCAAGATAACTGCTGAACCTGACCCGTGACCGCTCGACGTACGAGGCTATTATCCACTGCTGGCGCCGAAGCGGTCAGATCGGCCAATTTTGAGTTTTGAACGGTAACTTCTTAATTTTAATTTTGCTTTTGTAAAATAATATTTTATTGTCTCCTTATTACAATATTAACTTTGGCGCTAGAGAAAAATTTTACAAAAATCACCTTGGCAGTTAACCTATTAAAATTACAATGGGCGAAACAGAAAAAACTGATTAAAAAGAGAGACAGCGGTTGGGTTCTACTCGAGGAAAATTGGTTGAGTAAATAAACATTTACAGTATGATTTCTCATTCGAAACTCTTAAACGGAAATCAATAAATGCTTATAGAAACTTTGGGAGTCTTATGATATACACAATGAGAAAAAAATCTACCACTGAGACAACTGTTCACTTGAAATTCCATTATTTAGTTAAAACTAATTCACACTATTGTGGAATACTTTAGAAGTCAATACTGATAATCGCTATTTACTTTTACATCAGGAAGTCATACTCGAGAACTACTGCTGTTTGATTTTCAGATCGAACAAACTCGAATATTAATTATTCTAGCCACAAACTTACCGCCTGTTTTTTGGAAGAGCCTGACGACTTCAATTCTTTTATCCTCTTTTCTTGCTTCTCATACTCTTTTATCATCTCTCTTTTCTTTTGCACATGCATCTTCTTAAACATAGAATAATTTCCTTTATAATAGTATAATTTCTTATTATCCAAATGAATAATTTCATTACAAACGTTGTCTAAGAAAGACTGGTCGTGGGAAACGATTAATAGAGTTTTTTTCCAAGCTTGCAAGTAACTGTAACGAAAATATCAAATTTTTAAATTTTACTAACAGATAATGAAAATAAATATTTTTTGGTAAGCTTATAAAGGGGCGAACGATTCGCAGAAGTTAAAATGTCAATAGTACAACAAAATATAACTAGATCCATAAAAAAAAACAGAAAATGGTGAAGGAAAAAATATTGAAGCAGTCGACCAATACTCCTTATTGGTCAATCCGACAACCACTGGTATGACGAAGACATAATAAGTAGCGTAATTATAAACAATATAGAAAGCGAAGAGACATATGCTGAAAACGACGAGAAACATGGAAGAAAAAAACAGATTGTTTTAGGAGAAATTGTGCTATAATGAAGAAGATTTTAAAAATAAATAAATCGGGAACTTCTTCTTCTTCGTGCGACTAGGATTACTCATGTTTGTCTGCCTCTTATTCTGTTTCAATCGTTGTTAAGTACATTTTCTTTCCACCTTTTTGGCGGCCTTCCAACAGGTGTTCTGCTCTACGGTTTGTTATTTTTACAGATGTTCGCTAATCTATTTGGTCCCATTCGGTTTACATGTTCGTTCCAGTTTTTTTTTTGTTGTTTTTATCCACCTGTTAATATTTTGAATTTTGCATTGTTCGCGTATATTTCTGTTGGTTTGTCTGTCTCTTAATGATATGCCCGCTATTGATCTTAATACTTTCATTTCGATATTGTTGATTTGTCTTTTCGTCTTTCTTGTATCGGTCCTTGTCTACGCTGCATATGTTAGGATTAGTCTTACTGTTGTCTTGTATACTTTCATTTTGCTTTCCGTGGTCAGATTTTTGTTTCTCCATATGGTTTCTCGGAGACAACTACTTACTCTTACTGCTTTTGATGCTTGCCTTGTGGTCTCTGTTCTTATATCCCTGTCACTAGTGATCTCTACTCCTAGGTAATTGAATTTCATTACTTGTTTTACAATTTTGCCGTCTATTTCTAGTTTGCATCTACGCGGCTCTTTACTGATCACTATACATTTAGTTTTTTCTACTGATATTCTCATATTAAGTTTGTTTGCTGTGATATTGAAGGTGTGGAGCTGCCTTTGTAGGTCATCAGTTATCAGCAATTAGTACTGCATCATCTGCATAGCATAGTATCGTGATTTTATGCGCTCCCATGTGGTATCCGTGTCGTTTTCTTACTTCGTGAATTATTTGATTCATCACGATATTAAATAACAATGGGCTGAGCGAGTCTCCTTGGCGGATTCCTCCTTTTAGTTCTATGCATTCTGTTTCTCCTGTTGGCATTATAACTCTGGTCTTGTTATTGTTAATTTTATTAATTGCCCTTATTATCTGATGGTCTATTTGTTCAGCTTGTAATAAATTTAAGATGCCATTTCGCTTCACCCTGTCAAAAGCACTTTTTAAATCTACAAAGTACATGTATGCTGGTTTTCCATATTCAATAGACTTCTCTATTATTTGTCTGATAATAAAAATTGCGTCTCTTGTGCTGCGGTTCTTCCGGAAGCCTTGTTGTTCATCTGCCATGTTCGCTTTTTCCTCGATTTTATCATTTATGACTGCCGTTAACAATTTTAATATAGTACTCTATCGTGAGTTTCGTGAGTTTCGTTAATGATTCATTCTCTGTTCTCTTCTTCTCCTTCCCCATATTAATTTCGTGAAATACTAAGTCCATTGTTCCTCCGTAATGTTATCTATGTGTACAAATTCATTCATTTCTGTTTTTTGTCTCCTTATCATCTTCCACACCTTTTCCTGGGGTCGTATTCCATACCTTTGGTAAATTTCTCCCAGTGTTATGATGTTATCCATTTCTTGGTTTACTCTATTCCTGATTCTCACGTAGTCTTCTCGTGCCTCCGGTGTCTTCACTCCTTTGTATGTTAGGAAAGCTTTTTGTATTCCCGTTTATTTCTGTTAACTTTTCTTTTACCTAAAGCTTCTTCCGCTGCTTGTAGGATACATTTTTAATAATTTTCCAGTTTTCTTCTATATTCTTTTTAGTCTCTAGGTTATGGCTGTTTAGCTTTTCTGTTAGTCTGTTTCTATACAAGTTTTGTGTCCCTTCTTGTTCTAAGCTTTCTATGTTTAACTTTTCTTCTACTTTTGTATTTCGCTTGCCTTGTGTGGTGATTGCTATATTTATTTTTCCTAGTACCAGGCCATGGTCGGATCCTACATTGGCGGAAAATAGAGTGCGCACATCTATTATATTCTTGGTGTGTATTTGTCTGTTTGTTATTTGTGTTTGTCTGTTATGGGAACTTCTTACAAGAAATAAAACAAAAGCAAACCCAACATAATATAATGCCAAGCCATTATCAATATCAAGAAGGAAATCATTAGGTGAAATTCATAAAAAATTAGATATTTGGGCCAAATTTAGAAAATATATCAAACGCAGATGATCAAAGTCAACAAACGCAACTACCAAATGAAGAAGAAACTACAAAGGAAAAAAATGTAACTATGATAAAAAACTTGAAAAACAACAAGGCATCTGGTAAAAATGGTATCATTGCTGAGTTTCTAAAGAAGGCGTCGAAATGTTGCAAGAAGAAATCACTGAATTAATACATGAAGTGTGGATCAAATAACAAAAACCAAGCAAAGGAAAGAAGCTATTCTATGTCCAATACAGAAAAAAGGAGACGTTACAGAAAGTAAACACTACAGTGGAATAAAATATATAATTTTTGGCTATATCAATAAGAAACAACACTAAATCCAAAGTTGAAAATAATCTGTTGAATATCAAGCAGGCTCTAGAGCAAACGGATCAGTAATAGACCAAATTTTTATAACGAAAAAAATATATTATCTAGCTAGAACGCATACACAGTGAAAGTAGAAAAAAATGATAGAAGGGCGCGTCTCGGACAGTTTGAACATCAACATAGCATATGCGGATGAATTACATAAACTTAATAGATTTGAGGGGAAAGACTTTGGGTATGGATAAGAAATAAATGAGGAAAAAACAAAATATATAGTGATAAGACCAAGTTCACATCATTTAGAACAGTTCTTTTAAGATACATAACCCAATTAAGGATTATAATTTCGACATTGTTGGGAAATTCGACCACTTAGGAATAACAACTAACAAACAGAAATGACAAGAACCGAGAAAACGTAAAAAAACGCTAACAATAGTAAGAATGCTAGATTTTGTTTCTGCACTTGTTTTAAGTCTTTTAGATCTACGTTGTCCCTTGTTTCTTGTTGTATAAAATGCATAACATTCGCTATATTTTTTTGGCTTTCCACGGACAAAACTTTTCGAATCAATATTTCTACTAATATATTTGCGGTAATGTTACTGCGCATCAAGTGGGCGTGGCGATTGTCGGATTTCGAAAGATATTTAAAATAATCCAGAGGCTTAAAAGAGAAGAATGTCTAGCGAAGAACCGGTAACGAATTAATGCAAATATATGGTCAACCAAAAATAACGATACTTATATAATTCAAAGATTAAGATGGCTCGGTGGCATAATTAGAATGAAAAAAGGAGGAATTCACAAGAAAATAATACACTGAGGCTGGTACAAAAAGAAAAAGAGCACGTACCCAAAGAAAATGAATAAAGTCATAAAAGAAGATCTGAAATTGTTGAGGGTATAAGCTTGGAAAAATCTAGCACATTGGGCACCTATTGAGAATGCCTGACGAACGTTGGCCCCAAAAACTTCACAGATGAAAGCCCCCTGGAAGAAGAAAAAGAGGTGGACCTCGACGCTCTTGGAATGAAGGAATTAAAAGAGCGGTGAAATCGAGAGGTTTGGAGGAGTAGCATGCCTTGGACCGGAAGGATTGGCGGAGGAAACGGGAATACGGCGATAGCTGTCTCCAAAATGTATTGTATTTATAAGTTGGTTCCTGTAATATATATATATATATATATATATATATATATATATATATATATATATATAATATATATATATATATATATATATATATATATAAATACTCTGCTGATCGCCACAAGACAGAAGATTCAAACTCACGAAGATTGTTCCAGAAATAATAGTACTTATATAATAATGCATACTCACTTATCAAGCCAAATTACAGCGTTTAAATCTAAATGGTTAGTCGGTTCATCAAGCAAAAGTAACGTTGGTTCGATATACAATGCTCTGGCTAAGGATACTCTCATTCTCCAACCTCCAGAGAAATTTTTGGTAGCACGATCCTAAAAAAACCCGATTTAAATACAAAATAATATAAAAGATGAAAGAATATTAAAATCAATACATAAATTAAACTTTTTAAAGTCTTAAGAAACTCAATATTATTAATTGTTGATAAAATAAATAGTTATTTTAGAAGATCGAAATTGTTGGTAGAGTCGTACTTGTTCGCAGAATTTAACATAATATATGTATAGAAATAATGTGGTTTTTTTTTGGTTTTGACTATTAGTCACTTAGCCATTTACCTACTGGATATCCATATATCCCTAGCGTCATCTACTGCACCTAACAGCAGAAAAAAAACGGACGTACTCAACAATGTGGGATTTATTTGAACCAATATACAGAGTGATTGATTAGTGTAAGAAATTCCCGTAGATATATTATAGTAAATGTTATTTACAAAAATTGCACGTGACTTTAAACTAAGGATTGTAACTTAAATGAGTTCAAATTCTTCAGGATGTTTCATAAATTCGTGTCAGATGGAAGTTATATATTTTTAACGGAACACTCTGTATTTTCTTTCAAATTTGAAGTCTGATTCACTTAACCTCTTTAACTGGGTATTTAAAAAGTTATAACCAATATTACATGGAAATCGTGTCAAGTTTAACTCTCTGTATAATTAAAAATGTGGTAGGAACCTTGATCCATTGCATTCATGGTATTTTAATAAGTATATATAATTAATATATACTTATTAAAATATATAAAATAAACTTATAGCGTACACTCCATAATTTTTTATTCAAAAGAAGGAAACTATTAGGGAAGTCGATACGTTCATGAATGAAAAGTATGTTTAAGAAAATATTGCTTCAGATAAAAATGTCGAAGCAAAAAGGTTGAAGCGGAAAATCATCGATTCGGATAACAAAACAATTATTGTTCCTCACAAGAAATTATTTTGACATTTGAAGGAAATAGCATTCCAAGACTGTTAATTTAGGCTTGGTTAGGTTTAATGTTGAACCTAATAATATATATATATATATATATATATTATATATATATATATATATATATATATATATATATATATATATATATGGTTATTCAGGGTTTTAATTGCTTTCGGTTCAACCATACTGCAAATCAATCAAAAATCGTAAAAAATGTTGTCAAACTCATGATACTAATGAAACATGCAATAGCTCCCTATTCTGTGAACATTGCAACCAATGGAGTTGCAACCCATTCACAAAACAGTGTCTCGTATTTAAATACCAATGCAAAATCAAGTCAATCATGGTTTTCGAAAATACTACTTTTAAAGAGGCAGAAACCATAGCTAACAATCCGCCGCGGTGCCTACAAATAATAGATTTGATATTTTCAATACTATACAAAATTTCTCTGCCTTGCCCCCCCAACATCTTGAAAGTATAAATCAGAATCACTCCTAGGTACCTAATTCTAAAAAACAAGAAATAAGTGTAAAGGTTTATCACCAACTGCGGTCAAAACCCACCAACTTATACTACCATTTAATATTTCATTCAATACTTCAAAAAAATATAGTCCTGCTACATATGGTTAGCGACGATATCTCCCCACACATTTAGCGACCATCTAGTTTGATAATGTGTTACTAATAATTCGTCGGAGAAAAGACGGCTAAATCCATCTTCTTCTCGTACGCGTGTAGGTGAAGCTAAATCCATTCTTGCTATGGACTGTTCGAAGTGATTGGTGTAGCTAGCCTAGATAAAGACTAGCTATTTCTTACAAAGCAAAGATAAAACAACAAGTGTAGTAAAAGTAAAACAGCTGCAAAGTCTTGGAGTTGAAGAAAGGAGCAGAGCCCCAGAAGGAGGGCTCCCCAGAGTGCAGACGACTGACTTGTGTGACCTGAAAATCGCTCATTTTTATACACGGGTGTGTAACGATTTTAGGTATTTCCAGTTCCAGGTCAATAGGAAGAATTTCGAGGTGGGGCGATGCGAATCGGAGTGCGCACTAGTTCACAAACTAAGGCACACCATGACATCCCCCCTCATGTGGAGACTCACTGGCTGGAAAAAGTTTATAAGTATAGTACAGGAGAATACAAAGTTCTACATGACGGACCACATAAGGGCAAGCAGTGACTGGGCCTACTAGGGGGACACTATGTGGTGTGGATGACTTGTTGAATAGTAGTAAAAATTATACCTAATAACGGAACTTTTTGGATGGAATGTGGCTTCATCTCAAAACAATATCTGCTGATTAATTTTTTCTAATGCTCATACTCTAAATACGATTCATTTCTGAAAATCATTATTATTTAATTCTTGGTGCATTTGAATATGGTAAGGGTGCTATCACATAAGTGATAGTGAAACTCTTTTGAGCTTGGATAATGTATGATGATGATGGTTAATTTTATAAATATTGTTCTCTATTTGTTTCTTTTATTTCCTCTATTTCTGTTTTTATTTACTATGTAACTGACAACCACAAATTTATTTGTTAAATTCAAGGAATTTGTTTAGAAATTCATGGTAAAGTAAATGACAAAAATCCCGTATTGTTGTGTACCGTGTACTGTACCCAAATACCCGGTCAAACCTTACCAAACCTTACCTGCATTTCCTTGTCGAATCCTAAACCAGCTAAAATTCTCCTAGCCCTAGGTTCAGCAGAATCGGCCCCTATAGCTTTAAGTTCACTGTAAACTTCGTTAAGTCTCTCCTGAATTTCTAAATCTCCACTATTAGCAGCGGCTTCTAATTTTTTACATTCGGCTAATAAATCATTACGTTTGACATCGGCTGCTAGGACAGTTTCAACAGCAGTATTATCATCTGCCACAACTTCTTGTTCACAATAGAGAATATCGATATTTGGAGGAATATCAAATGCACGTTGTGCTACATGTCTCAGTAGTGTTGTTTTACCATGGCTAAAATATAATACAGGGTGATTCAATGAAACATGGAAATTAATGTGTAAGTGAAGAAATATTTAGTTTTTGAAGATGCTATTGGAAAGGTGGCCTCCATTTTGTCGGATACGTTCGTGCAGTCGTGGTACAAAACTGTTTACGATATTGAGTAACATTTATTGAGGTATTGCTTCCACTTTTTCTCGTATCCGTTCTTTTAAAGCCTAGATAGTTCTTAGGGAGTTACTTTGAAACACTTTCAACTTTAGATACCCCCAAAGAAAGTTGTCGCATAGGAAGAGGTTCGGATTACGAGGTGGCCAGGGAATATCACCGTATTTACTCATAAGACGACCGGGGAACGATCTTCTTAGTAAATCCATTGACGCTCGTGATGTGTGACATGTTGCACCGTCCTGTTGACAGGTCGTGTGTTGATTTCTGTAATTCTTGATTGCCGAAAATTTATTTAACATGTGCATGTAACGAACAGAAATTACTGTTATTGTGTGCCCAGTCTTTGTTGTCAAAAAAATTAGGTCCGATGATCCCTAACAAAGAAATTTCACACCATACGGTTACCTTTTCTGGTCTTTCGTATAATTGCCGTGGATTATTGTCAAACCAATAGGAAATTTTGTTACATACCCACTTAGATGAAAGTGGGGTTCATCACTTATGCAAAGATTATGCGGCAAGTTGTAGTTTTCATTAATACACTTTAATATTTGTTCACAAAACCCTAGTCGGATGTGATAATCTCAAACGTCAAGGGCTTGCACCATCTGCATTTTGTATGGATTATACTGGAGATCTTTATGCAAAAATCTCTCATAGTGGTATAGCTTAATTCCAGATTTAAACTTTGTCGTCGCAGGGATCTCCGAGCATTCACGTGAGTTTTTAAATATTCTCTGGTGTGCGAGCTGTTCTGACGCTGCCACCTCTTTTCTGTCTAGAACCACTACTTTCATAGTTCCTAACCCAGGTCTGAATAGCCTTATTAGACGGAACTGGAGTGCAAATGGTAGCGTAAAAGAAACGCTCGTTGTACACGCACAAAATTTTCACCATTTTTGTTATAAGCTTTCCCAGCAAATGCGCGTTGTTACCCGACCACTTCTCCATGATAACTACCTACTCCCTAGATTCCCAACGTTTACGTCGCAAGCCCGCGGCTCTTCTATTTTTCGCCTGTAGCGTTGCCAAATCGTGGGTTTCAGGATTTGGGTATTTTTTGGGAAAAGTAGACAAGCATTACTATAATAGCTATAGTGGCTGATAGTAGTATCTTGGTCTGCTGCGGTTTTGTTCCTATCTTAGTTATAGTATTCATGATAACAGCTCAAACAACGCAATGAACTCTCAATAGTATCCAAATAAAAGGGCTCGACTGCAGACAAAGATGAAGACCAAACAGAAACATTCTACAGTAACATAAAAAACGGTAGATGTTATTAATAAAAAATACATAACGATAATATGGGGGATTTTAACAGCAAACTAGGAAAAAAAAGAAAATGAAAGTTCAAAAAAATACATAAAATATTAAGTTCTCTTCTAAAACAGATGACAATAAAAACATAGTTAACGTTCAGAATAAAGGAAGAACTAAGCCAAAAAGAGCTCAGAGATAGTACTGAAAAATGGGAAACTTTTAAGAAATACAATAATAATTAGTCTTTGGATAAATATAACACAGACAAAACTAAAATATCATGGATGACAGCTAACATACTACAACTAATGGATAAAAGAAGACTATATAAAAAAGAATGTGAAACTAAAAAGGTGAACGGAATGCATTCAAACATTATTAGAAGATGATCGGCAACAAGAAAATAGGACAGAGGCTGAAGTAACACATGCAACAAAGCAAACAAAATCCAATAAAGTCTGAAATAATTCCAATAGAAATAATCAAATTATTATTGGAAGATCAAAAAGTGTATTACCTATATAAATTCAATGCAAAGGAATGTAATGACTAGACTTGAGGAAATATGCAAAATGCATATTTTATGCAAATATCTGGGGATTTTGCATATTTATACAAAAAATTGCATAATATGCATAAACGTCAATTTGTTTCGAGTTATGGATTTTAAATGCGACAGTTGTCGACAGTTACAGTTCGCCAAATATAGCTGAAAGTGTGAAAACGCGTGACGATCAAGATGCGCATTCGTCAAACGACGGCCCTCGCACTCATGGTCCAGACCGTTTGTATGTGCGTTCTCACTTCTTTGTTAGCGCAGGCAATGGGAATTTCACACTTTTAGCTATATTTGGTGAACTGTATATCGTTATACGTCCATACTTGCCTTAAATAATATCAATATGCTTTAGTTGTTTTAGTATGTAGAAGTTGACACATTAGGACTTGGCATAGTTTTTGACAAGTCAAAGATGATTGCACTTTTGCTAGCATCCTTTAGGTCATGACACTCATCTTTTGCTGTTCATACGGCTTCGCCCTTACGCAAGTAAAAGCCTTTTTCTGTCTGAGCTAAAGCGTTTTCTTCTGTCGAACCATGATTTATTTTTATTTAAAATTTGTTACATTTATCAAAGGTATCTATATGGCCTTTTGAAACTAAGATTGAACTTGGTATTAAAAATATTCCTGTAAAACCTTTCATGTACAAGTTCTTCCTGTTTTTACACTCCTGAGGAAAATACCTCGTATCCGGAGTCTTATTTTTAGTGTAATGGCTTGTGTACCTAGGGAACTTATTAATATGCTCGTTTGTGATTTCAATTGTCCTTTCAGATATTTTGTTCGGGGGTCATTTCTTTCCACTTTTGTCTCCTCATGTCATGCCTGAAGCTTAGCTTTAGGAAAGCTGTTTGGAGATTCCAGTGTACAATGGTCGATACTCTTTAAAAACCAGAAGTCTTTGTTATTGTGAAATATTATTGGTACATTATTCCTACAATGATGATTTTTAAGTTCTCGTAACTTTTTTCTTCATGAGTATTGTGTTTTTTGCCCATGTAAGCTTACCTGAATTTCTTGCTACACTGTAAAAAAATTTTTGCCATTTTTTAATTTTTACGAATTATACCAAAGTGATGGTTATTAGATGTTTAAGAATATGTTCTAAAGCAGTATGCAATCTTTTTTAAATAACAAATGTCAAAAAATAACTTCTTCCAAAATAATGATTTTATTGAAAAATAAAAAAAAATTAACATTGTACATTTTGTCTGTTTTCTTTATAAAATTACAATTAAGTCGTGATTATTAATACCGTGTCGTGATTATTACCACCTCAATTGTGAGTTACACTCCTCATTTGATTTGACATTGAATTGATCAAATTCTGGATGTCGTTTTTAGGAAAAGCTTCCCATTCTTCCATGAGCGCCAACCGAAGCTGCTCACGACTTATTGGAGCAGATATTCTGTTTCTTACCCTTCGTTTGAGTTGGTCAAAAAACATGTTCAGTCGTGTTCAAATCTGGACTTTGAGCCGGCCAGTTCATTTTTGGCACACCGACAGTGTCCAGATATTGCGTTACCATCCTGGATACATGTGGCCGCGCGTTGTCTTGCATAAAAATAAAGTTTTCGCGCCGACAAACCCAGCAAAAGGCATTACCTTCTCGTCTATCAATAAATACGAGATTAGTACGGCCCTCGAATGAAATGCCTGCCTAAAACGTTACCGAACCTCCTCCAAAAGCAACACGTACTTGTCGAACATAAGCAGCATATCGTTCCCCACGTCTTCTGTATGTTTTGATGCGACCATCTGACCTCCAAAGAACCATCCTGGACTAATCACTAAAAAAAACATTTTTCCAATCTTCTATCGTCCAATGCTCGTGGTCTCTAGCAAACTGTAGTCGGCGTTGTCGATGTGCTGCTGTTAACAAAGGTCCTGTTCCTGGATAGCGACCCCTTAGACCAAATTCCCTCAACCTTCTTCTCACGATAGAAGTGCTTAAGGTCTACCCGTGAGCATTTTGAAAACGGTTTTGGATTGATCTAGCCATAAAGAACCGATTTTGCAAAGAAATGCGTTGTAAAGAACGGTCTTCTCTGGACGTCGTGATTCTTCTCGGGCTTGATCCTGGTCATCGTTAGTGAGATCTAGTCTCTACGAATCGTTGGTAAATTTTTTGGACCATACAACGACTAACTTCAAGCTGTCTGGCCACTTCTCTTTGACTTATTCCATTACCAATCAAAGTAACAAGTTGAACAGATCTAGCAAATTTTTCAGCCATAGTTTTTAATTTAAAAATTGGACAAGTTTACTCTTCGAACATCTGTACACTAAAAAAGGTTTTTGAATAACAGAATAGCCATTTCCAAGAAAAATAAGGTACAAACAACACGTGCATTATCCGAAGTCGTAAAACCGATATTAATTCTGCAAACTTATTACCTTTAATTGACCTGTCGGTGCCTAAAAGACGCTAAAAATTTTTCTGCATTGTGGGAATTTAGTTACAATAGAATAAATTGTATAAACTTAAAGTTATTGAAAAATTCTTACAAAATTCTAGGTGGCCTCTTTTTCGTGACGCGCTGTGTATTTTATCCCTATTTTTTCCACTTATCAGGCCTTCGAATCCGAAACGAACTCTTCTTAAAAACACTGTAGTTTATAATAACGTAAAACACTGAAGTTTACATTAAAGTATTATCTTAATAACAAAATAATATTGCTTTACAGGAGCTATACCAATATCCATCCAAAATTATAACAAATTCAACTAACAGACCAATTCCATGAAGGCTTAGAAAAGCTTTAAAATAAACTGGGACGTCAGTAGTTTTCAGTCGTTATTCTAGCTTTAAAATAATACGTTGCACAATGCAATCTTGATGTAGTTTCATCTCGGGCTCTTCTTTGCTTTACGGGCATTAACGTTATGAGGCCTGCCAATATTTTGTTCATCACGCATCATAAGGTTAAAATTGTTTGATCGGTTTTGTTGATCTACTGTTTTAAAACACTTAAGTCTCTTGCATTGACAATCGTCACCTGTTTCATGGCTCTGTTGTCTTAACCGCTTCTTTACTTCATTTATTCAACCTGTAATATTCCATTTTCTAGTGTTTTTTTCGCGACCCGGATCATCTCTTTCACTATCCGTCACTTTCGAGCACAATAACACGCATTTATTTAATGAAGGCTAATCGAAAATTAAACATTTTTAGTAAACAAAATGCGGTGTGTACACCCTGACGTCCTGACAAGCACTGACATTCCACTTTTCTCGGATTTATGAGAGGACCATTTGCCTTTCTTCCCTGTACGAAGAATTTTATAACGTGTTTTAAGCTATGAGGATTCGTCTTTTTCCCATGTTTGAACGACTCACATAAAACTACTACTAAAAACCTAAATATTGCTGCTTTGAACAAAAAAAAAAAAAAAATAAAAAATTGACATTTCGCCCTTCTTCCATGTGGTCTTCATTTGTTATAAGAACAAACGTTTTATTTTTCTTCTGTCATGTTTTTTTGTTGTGTATGAAAAAAAAAAACAAAAAAAAAACGTAAGAGAGATAATAATATACTGCCAAAACCTCGTAAATCCTGAAATAAAATGCCATATGAAGTTCAAAAACTCGATCTCACCTTTTCAAAACGATAAAAAAAATCAAACATTACTTTCTTTAAATTTAATAATTGTCACAATTCAATTCGTTAAAATATCCACTGTATTTTTTACTATGGGAAGTTTTTACGTGATTTCTCAAAATATGCTAATTTTGAGATACAAGGAGTTGATGACGATATATTTAAATATTTTTAAAGTAGTAATATAATTATGTATGTTCTTGTTTCACATTTCTATGAAATAAAAAACAGATATAATATAACACAAAAAAGTATAGCAAAATTAAATAAAAAATTTACTTTCAAACGCTCATAAATTTAAAATTATAACTTACCCATTAGGTCCTACTAAACCATAATGTCTGCCCTGAGCTATCAATAAATTGGCATTCACAAATAAATCATTACCTTTAGCAGAAATACTGAAATTTTCAACTTTTATATCTACAGCATTCTCAAATGCAGCCAATTGTCCAGCAGTCTTTTGCGTTTGTGATACAGTAAAATTACTATCTAATTCAGAATGTCCTTGTCCACCCTTTTTCAACATGGTTTCCATTTGTTTTTCGTATTCCTGTTGTTTCTTCATTTTTTTCTTTTCTTTATGCGTAAGTTTTTTTTCTTTAGATTCCTCTAATTTATCATCACTTATTTGCGTAGTACTTAGTTTTTCTGTTAAGTCTTCTACATCATTACTTTTATTTTCTAACTCTTTGTTATGTTTTTCAGTTCTGCCATTTTCTATTATTTTTTCTTCTACTATAGGAGAATCTTCTTTAGATTCTTTAATTTCTACTTTAACTTCTATATCAATTTTATTTTCGCCTTTCTTCGATTCTTTGCCTTTGCTTTTCTTTTCGTCTTGTTTAATAGGTTTCACAATTTCTTCTTCGCTTACGTCATCCTCCTTAAAACCTTCATCTTTTGATTCCATTTCCTCATCTTCTTGAGATTCATCTCGTACCTTAAAAGAAAAATATTAAAAATTCAATATTTATAGAAATAAATGATTCCATCTCAAATAATAGAATAAATGTGGATTATCCACGAAGGCACAAGTCGCGTAATCTCTGGCAATATATGGCGTGTTATGAGAGTACGTTATATACCAGGAGGAGGATGAAAGGAGGGTTTTCGGAACCCTTTCTTATGATCGGAACACAAACACACCAACGAACCCTTACCAACACGAACTGAGGCAGCGTCGTAAGGTAATCCTCACAACCCCTAACATGGAAGATACATTAAAATCATGGCCCTCATTTTCCGTAAGCCCAAATCCTGGCTTGATCCTGAACTGGGTAGCTTTCAAGATCAAGCCAGAGTCTAAACCGCTACCCAAATAAAACAACTATCGCTACTAAATCAATTGAGACTTGTAGAACTTGTGGAAAAAGAAACTGAAAATATAAAATGGGAGGTCATAGGAACCAGCGAAGTAAGAAGAAAAGATGAAGATTTATTGGAATTTGCGTCAGGAAACACATTCTACTACCGAGAAACATCAACGGGCAAGATATGCGGTATTGTAGACTCCTAATCTACAAGAAATGTTGGACCGGTATACCAGTATATGTGTTCAAAAACCGGTAACCTGAACAGCCTTCCCGTATGAAGGACAATCGTGAGTGAAATCCTGTCAATACCACGAGTGTATGTGCAGAAGAAATATTGGTAAGACTTTGTATAAACTTAATTTATTATCGCCTGTATAACCCTTTACTACATATCCTAATTTATTTGTACCAGCCCTATGTATTACAGTCCTCATACACTGAAATTGTAGTCATAATTTCACATACATACACCCATTTTGTACACCATCTATGTTTAATCCTTAAAACACCTTATCATTGATATTTATTACAAAATAGAAAAAATAGTCTCACAATTTATCACATGCAGCAAATAAGGAGTAAAATTGAACTCGAAAGAATTGCTGATTAATATCCAGCAGTTGATGATCATGCTTTTAACAGAGAAAGAATATGAAAAAGAAACTTATATAAATATTAATATTTTTGTCAATTATAAAACTTTACTAAACTTTAATACCTGATTTTTATTTTTCTTAGTGGACTTTTAGCAATAGCTGGTACTGGTTCTTCTTCGCTCTCAGATAATTTATTTTCTATTTCTATATCTTCTTTATCAGACCAATCATCTTTTTTCTTACTTTTCTTAGCTGACTTCTTAGCAATTTTAGGTGCCTCTTCAATATCACTTTCAGATAATTGTATATCAACATCTTTATCTGACCAATCATCTTTCTTTTTCTTATTTTTCTTAGTAGATTTTTTCACTGCTACAGGTATTGACTCCGATTCACTTTCTGAAAGTTTTATATCTACTTCTTCCTTGTCTGACCAGTCATCATTCTTATTGCCTTTGCCTATAAAAAATATATTTTTAATTTATTGTAAATACTATATTCATAACATAAAATAAAATTGTCTTAAAAAAGTGGAATACTTAAATAAGTATAAAAACTAGCAGTGCGACAACCGAAAAATGAACATACAACAGATGTAAGACATCTTGTAACATACCAAATTTTAAATAATCTCTACCACAGTTTATAAACCAAGGACTGGTTGACAATTTTTAAAAAAATCTGTATTCTTAGCAGTGGCTTCAACAAAATTGATGATCTTATTGATAAGTAATGGAGTTTTATCCCCCTTTCTAAAGTAAGTAAAGTTTCAAAAATTTAAGTACTGGTGCCTTTTTCAAATTTTAATATTTTAGTTTAGTACTCAATTGTCTCCGGAGGCGTGTCAGGTAGAAGCTGACCGCCGTGCCGGACGCATTTAGAAATTCGGAGAAATACTTGGAAATTCCAAGTGTGGGCAAATCCGAATTTCTAATTGACTCGATGTAGGGAAATTCCACTTTTACTACGTAAAACAAAGGATTTGTTTTATATAAAAGCAGACGGAATTTCTCTCATCGGTCAGTCGAGCTTGCCTCTTCTTCTGTAGACCTAGTCGGTGCTATTATTGTTCCGACTAAGCTATTGTTTTATTTCTTATTTCCTGATAACCATTTATATTTTATTATTGTATATTCAGACCTTTTCAGGTTAGAATATTACTTTGACTTATATTTGTTCATATACTAATTATTTGATATTTTATTTGATTATTTTGATTGTTTATTTTTCTTGTATTTTGTATCTAAGTTGTTCTTCCGTAAGTTAAGAACACCTAGAAATATTTATCTTACTTTTTTCTATTTTATCAATTTGATTTTGTACTTTGTGTCTAAGTAGTTCTTTCCGGTAAGTCAAAGAACTCTTAGAAATATTTCTCTGATATTTGACTTGTTAATTTTATTGTGTGCCTAAGTCATTCTTTTCCGGTAAGTCAAAAGAACACTTAGAAATATTTTCATAATCATTATTGCATTATTATTTGCGATATTTATCTAAGATATTTTCTTAATATATTTGTCTCTTTTATTTTACCATTGCATGCTGAGTTGTTTCTTCCGTAAGTCAAGAGACACTTAGCAATATTTCCATATCTTTTCTGTATTTGATTTTCTTATTTTCTATTATAAGTTGTTTCTTCCGTAAGTCAAGAAACACTTACAAATATTTGTATTCTTATTTTACTATATTTGATTCTCTTGTTTGTTTTCTGTTCTAAGAAACACTTAGAAATATTTCCATACATTGTTTCATATTTACATATTTCATTTATCGTATATTTCTGTCTTAAGTTGTTTCTTCCGTAAGTCAAGAAACACTTAGGAATATTTCTGCACTTTTCTGTTCTTTTATTCTTGTGTATTTTACTTTTCATTCTAAGTTGTCTCTTCCGTAAGTCAAGAAACAATTAGAAACATTTTCTGTGCATTGTATTTTTATATACCATTTTATTTCCTTGTTTACTAAGTTATTTCTTTCGTAAGTCAAAGAATACTTAGATTATTTTACCTGTTCTGTTTTCTATTTTGATCTGCTATTTTGTAACTGTTCCTTGGAACTGTTACCTATAACAGATACTTGTCACGGTAACTGTTATTTTATACCAGTAGCAGTATTAACACGTTTTACCAGCGACAAGCAAAGATGGTCAACACCCGATCAAATTCCGGGGACAGGAAGAAGTCCGAAGAGCCGGCGATGGGTCCTACAGGCCCAAATGCTCTCGGCAACACAATAAAATAGAAAATAAATAAGACATATCATTTTATCAGGCTTAAATGCTCCAGTAGTTTAGTCAAGTGAGTGAGGAATTAAGTACTTCACCCTTTGAAAACATTTATTTTAATAGAGACAATTGGAAGAGTAGAAGTGGCAATAGTAAAAGGTATTTTTACTTATCAGCGATTTTGGGATCGGTTTATTCATGGTGGCACATGGCTCGTAAGTCAATGGTCCAAGGATACAGTCATGCTTTTTACATTAGAACTTAATAATTATTTTGGCAAAGTTAAAGGGATGCAGCATCTGCATTTTTTCTGCAACTTTACCAGTGTATAAACCAAAAAATGAGAGAATCCATTTTTGTTTTAATATGTCTATTTAGTTTCGTTTTAACATATAATAATAATAATAATTTTAGTAACACAATCGAAATAAGTGTGATAAAAAATTAAAAGTTAGTGAAAATGTATTTTAATTGATTTTTTTTAATGAACACAGCTGTATAGTGTATTATTTATGGTAAGTACAAAACTGTATTTTATTAATTTGATGTAGCATGCTATGGTTCAGGTTCACTAACTCTCCTATCCACTGTCCGAGTTTTACAGTTGAAAGAAAAATGTCTTAAATACAAGCTCGTGATTAAATATATTTATGAATGAATGAAATGTTTTTCAGGATGCAGGATGTCTCCTATTTAGGTCCAATTTTTTTAAAAGACAGTCCTGTGTCTTGTTTATTAATTTCACAAATAATTACAAAATGTTGAAACTTTATTTTTGATTGCTTTAATTTCCTTTGAAAAAATAAGAATTTTCTCACAAAATTTGGTAACCACTGGGTTTTTTTGAGGGGAATAATTATAATTTCAGTAACTTTTTTAAAAGGAATGCATCTTTTATTTCTTTCAGATATAGAATATATCGTTTCTAGATGTCTTCCAGAAAGACTAAAAGACAGTCAGGTGCTTTCTATAGATAAGACAAGAATAGAAGAACAGAAGAAATCTCTAAACAAAAGAAAGCATTGAGAAAATATTTCAGACAAGAGGAAAAAACTGAGCGTGAACAAAAAGATTTGATACAAATGTTACTCACACACAACCCTTCATATCCACCAGTACTAATGACTATCCTAAATACTAAATCAATAGATTTCACACTAGAGAAAGGCAATGGAATGGCAAGATTATTAACATTATCAAACAGTTCCATTCTTGGTGAACCTGAATGTGAAGTTGAGAGTAAGTGTACACCTACATTGGAACCGTATTTCTCCCGATCCGGTATCTGGCGACGTCGGAATAAAAACAAACTCAAGGTATTAAATCAGAGTGCCTATACTGCTTCGTCATGGAAGTAGTATAGGCACTATGATTTAATACCTTGAGTTTGTTTTCAATCCGACGTCGGCCGACGTCGCCCGATATCGGATCGGGAGAAATACGGTTCCAATGCAGGTGTACACTTAAGAGGGATACAACTCTGCTTAAATTGCACTAGATGATCCAGGAATTGGCCTCATGTTTTAAAGAAAAAATATATTGATTAATTAGTAGAAAATGGTCTCAAACAAGTAACAAATTTTAAATTTCACTATTTTTCACATTCATATTATAACAAAACTTAAGTGAACAGGGAGAATGTAAATCATATGTGGCTCTCCTATTCCATAAAACTTTTTCAAAAATCATATTTTTTGTTTACATTTCTGATTGATGTCATTGTAAGGACTACCTTAATAAGCACGAAAATACTCTACAAGTAAGTTCTATTAGATTGTGGTATGAGTTAAAGATGATGCTGGAAAAAAATTGTACTAATGACATGTAACAACAAAATAAATCGAGAGAAAAAATGATGATATATTGATTGGAAATTTGGCATTTAGAGAGACTAATCTGAAATTGTATTACAGAGATAATGGTAATTTTTAAGGACAGTGGAGATGTTGGTCAAAGTTGATCCACTTATTTCAAAACACCTTAATAATGTCAGTAAATGTAAAGATAACAAAAACCTATAATCCACATTACTTGGAGTAGCATTTTCAAAATGAGATAATAATATGCTAAATATTATTCTATAACTCTCGACTCTACACCAGAACAAATATTGTTTGTAATTGGGTCTGTGAACACTACTGATAGTAAGGTAGATATTTTTGAATTTTTTCTATGCCTTTTTCCGGTAACTAATACCACTGGGAAAGACCTATGCCATTTTCTACTAGAGAAGCTATTACCCAGTCCTCAGCTAGAAACTAAAGATATACATGATCAGGGCTACAGCTGTGGAGTGAAATCATGAAAGTTGATATCAATCCTAGAGCATTATATATATATATATATATATATATATATATATAAATATATATATATATATATATATATAATATATATATATAAATATATATATATATATATATATATATATATATATATATATATATACATATCACTAGGCATATCACATCAGAATCATATTTGAATAAGTAAAAGTATGGTCCAGCTTCAACTCCTTCATTGGTTTTAGATTCATCCATATATGATATTATGGGATTTGTTTTATTTTACTCCCATGTATCCTCTTCCCAGAAAGACAACAGTAAATGGTTTTTCAAAATTATATTTAGATTGCATTGCATCTGGTAAAATTTCCATCTCTGGATGATTTTTTATTATTTTCCAGATTTGATCACAGTATTATGTCACCCTGTTTCCTGGCATCTTATCTGCCTTCTAGATGCTCCCCCACATACTGCACATATCCCAGATCCATCTATTTACCAACAATATTACCAGCAAATATAAATTTACCAACAATTTTTATGTAAAAATGGTATATCCGTTAATTAAATAAATAAATAAATAAATAAATAAATAATATATATATATATTTTTACACCAATTAACAGCAAAATCTCTTGATTAGATTTCTTTTTAAGACAATTTCATATTATTCTCAGCAGTTTCAGCAGCAGAGTTGCCAATTTTTGATACACTACTGCTTACTTTTAAATTGAATTATTCTACACATAAGGAAAAAGTTTATTCTTTCTCTTACAGTAATACAAAATAGTAAAATGGTAAATAAATAACGTTATAGTTGTTTCTAGCAACTGATAAATGAAGGTTAAGTATACTTATATAGTATTTTAAATAAGAGTTACCCTTTTTGGCCTTTTTCTTAACTACTGGTTTACTTTCAGCTGGTTCGGATTGATTAATTTCTTTGCCTAAAACAAACACATTAATATATTTGTTTTATACTATATTATATAAATGAATCACAATTTATATAAATTATTATGTTTAACTTCAAACAATACTACTTTTACTGAGTTAAATTATGTACTGTATGCTTAATAATCACTTAAAATTATTTCTTCCCTAAAAATAAAAAAAGCCTTAAAAGGAAGTGGTTATATATTTAGACACTAAATGTTAAGATATTATAGAGGTATTTTGAGTGATCATTATAGGATTAACCAACCTTGTTCAATTTCCTCGTCATCACTCCAGTCATCCTTTCCTTTTTTCCCTTTTTTAGTAGTCTTAGTCTTGGGAGTTTTTGAATTTGTTTTTTCTTTTTCGCTAATAATACTGGAACTTTCTTCAAAATCTTCATCCAAATTTTTTCCTTTTTTGGCCCCACGTTTTTTCGACATTTCTAAATTAATATATTAAAATTGGTAACAATATGTTAACCTTACTTTTAAAAAGTGAAAAGGACACTTTGACACTTGTCTTGTCTTGGGTCAAAGGGTTGCCAGGTGAAAATTGTTGTTCTCCCTAAATTCAACATTAAAATGTCCCTAGAAATCCCTAGATTGAAATAAATGTATATATGGTTGCCTAATTTTAAATAAAATGATGGGATGTATTGATGGTTGCCTAATATAATATCATGGATATAAAACAGAGATATTGTCTATTCGCTTAGCTAGTATTAATAATAATTCCTACTTCTCAGTATTAATAGCTCAAGTATACTACTATTGCAGACTTCTTTCTTTAAAAAAAAAAGAAGAATTATTCTAAATAGTGGAGGTGTATACTAAACCCATCAAATTTTCCCTGTATAAATATAATATTTGATTTGTTACAATTTAAAATATTGTAGTAAATATTTGTATTATTCACGTTGTTTATTTAATTTAATATAGTTTTATTATCTTTGTTTAATTCTTTTGTTAGTTCTATTCAGTTAATTAGTTAGTTATATTATAAATTTTATTATTATGGATAGTCAACGTTTTCCATTTGTTCCATCAGCTAATGCGTTGGTAAGTTTTTCTTAATAAATATGATAAAATGTTTTTTAAAAGTTAATATTTTTAGATTAGTTGTTTCTAATTTAATATAAACTTGTTTATACTTACATGGAGGTTTTTGTTGTTTGTTTGGGTTTATATGTCGCAGACTGCGGCCAGAACACAACAGATCACCTGGAGTGGTCTGTGCAGGACACTGAATTCATTCACCATATGTGGAAGATTTTAACATCCTCAAATGCTAATGAGCAAAAATTACTATTGAACCACGAATTTGCCTAGTCAAATTACTAATATTTGCTTTTGCATATGGAAGTACACTTATTTTGTAAGATAATAAAACAACAGTTTATGTTAATGTTATCCAATGAACTGTTAATCTTTAATCATTGATTCCATCCTAGTCACAACATAAGGAACTTGCTATGTCTTTTTGACTTTTTAATTTTGTAGAATTTATTCCCACTTTTTTTATTTTGTACAATAAATAATTTTATTATTTGCTATCAATACATTATACGGTGTAAATAAATAAATATTGATTGTCGGCAAAGTTTTATTTTATTTACTTTTGTTTACATTAATATTGACTAAGAGCACGTATGCTTGGTTGTATAGTATAGTTATTTCCAGTCACTTCGAGTCTGTCAAAAAGTAACTAACTTCGCAAAAAAATAATTACTAAAATCACTATACTTCATCTAATTTAGATAACGACTTACGTCATTATCTACGTCAGATATCGAAGTAGACATAGTTGCCAAAGTATAAAAAAATCCTGACTCCATTTTAAATCAAATAGATTACATAATTATTGCAAAAGTATTACCATCTCTTTACAACGACTATTTAAATTCTTACGTGACATTTTTAAAATAAAACACACTAATTTTGTTCTAAAAAGAACAGATTCTATTAAATAGTTAAAATTATAAAAAAAGAGATATTCACTTTAAAATTCAAAATAATGAAGTACAAAAAGTGCCAACACCGCAACTGTCAAATAAGTATTACCAATTTATGCCAAAATTTTACCTTCGTTCGATTACAGTTACAGTGTGATCCGAACAAATGTACTTGATAAAAACGCTTTATAATGAATTTATACAAATTAAATGAAACATATTATTGTGTATTTCTTTAAGTTAACATTAATAGACATTTTTAAATATTATTTCTACGAGGATATAATAAAATATGCCTAGTGGCTGTAATGCCAGTGTACTCGGTAAAGTGATTCTAAAAAAGAACACACCTACACCCTAAGTATTTTGTGTTGGTATCATGTGACGTCACAGGCTATGACGCCGTTGACGTGCATCGTTATATAAATGCATCGACGAAGAATAGCGATTGCGAATATCACTGATATAAAAAAGGTTGAGTTTACCGAAAGTACAAACTGATATGTCGCAAATGTCAAACATGAAACAAAAAATTTCGGTATAGCAGTGTTGGCATGTTTTTATAATGTAGATGCTGTATGCTTCAAATATAGAAATATAAAGCTTTAGAAAAGTACAATTTGTGTATATTATGTTGTGCATTCTGCAATTTTTGATTTATATAAAACAACAATGACTAAGTATGTGTTTCTTTGGAGATTAATTGCAGTTGATTAATAGAAATTTTTTAGCAGTTACCCTTTGATAGATTAGGGCAGAGTTTCCCAAACTTATCTAAACCGCGACCCCTTTTTGCTAAAATATTTGTTCGCGACCCCCCAATTTCCCCCCACTCATTTATTCAATATTATTAGACAGAAATAGCGTACCTAATTTAGAATTATCTGATGGTTTCTCAAATTTAATTTTACTTTACTATTTAAGTTTAAATCAAAAACAATTATTTTATTTTAATACAATTATTTTAATGATTGCGATCTTTCCCACTATATAGTAATTAGTAGTAGGTACTTCTGCCAGAGTAGCATTTACAATAAAAATAAATAATAAGAAGTCGACTGCACATTGTACACCGCGACATTAGCTTGTGTCTACATCGCAAAACTCTTCCATGATAATCGCGAAAACGCTCGCTTCGTAGCCTTGTTTTGGCTTTATATAAGCGGCCATGCGCAACGAAACCTCAGTTCGAATCCAAACAGCCTATGGTGCCGAACGCGGTGTTAAATAATGAGTAAATATTTTACCACTTACGTATTCCCGTTTACGTATTTGCGTATACGGTAAATTATAAATTATGGATAAGTTTTTAAAAAGAAGTGCAGAACCATCTACGTCTGAAAGTGGCAGTAGCAGCAATAAAAAGAAAAACAGATTCTACATTGATGAATATCTTAAATATGGTTTTACCATTATTTCCAATAAACCACAATGTCTTATTTGTGGATAAGTCTTGTCAAAAGCAAACATGAAGCCATCAAAGTTACTTCGACATTTAAATAGCAAACATCCAGATAAAAAAGACAAGCCCGTAGAATTCTTTGAAAGAAAGCTGAACTTCCTTCACAAACAGCGAGACAGTTTTCCCTCGGCAACCACTACTAATGAAAAAGCATTATTATCAAGTTATAAAGTTGCTTATTGTGATGCCAAAACTAGTAATCCGCACACAATTGCTGAAAATCTGATTTTTCCAGCAGTTGTTGAAATGGTACATATAATGTGTGGAGAAAAAGAGGCTGCAAAATTAAATACAATACTTCTGTCAAATAATACTATCCAAAGAAGAATTAGTGATATAGCAGAAGATATTCAAGCGCAAGTTGTGGAAAATCTTAATAAATGCACTTACTTCTCTCTTCAAATGGACGAATCCACAGATATATCTAACTGTGCCCAATTCATTACGTTTGTAAAATATGATACAAATAATGGCATTCAAGAAGATATTGTACCCAATCGTAAGAAATGTATCCAATTACAGTGATACAAATTTTTAACAAGTTTTTGCTGACATGCATGTTACTTTGCTCAATTTAAAATAACAGCTCTGTGATTATTTCCCCGAAGAAATTCAAAACAGTTACGACAGTTGCAGATGGATACTAAATCCGTTTTTAGTCGATTCCTTTCAGCATGTTGAAATATCAATAAAGATGAAAGAAAAACTTGATGGAATGTTGAAGCTCCAATTTTTTTCCCAGAACTCGGACCAATTTTGGACCGAAAAGATGCAGGAATACCCCCAGTTGGCGAGTGAAGCTGTAAAATGTTTGGTAACATCATATTTGTGTGAGTTAAGTTTCTCGTCTGTCTATGACTGCCATTAAAACAAGAGTTAGAAATCGTCTCGTACTTGAAAATGATATAATTGTGTGGGTCTCAAATACACAGCCTAGATTTAAAAGATTAGTTTCACAGAAACTACTTTGTTTTACTCTTTTATTTTTACGGACTTTAATATTTAGTTTTACATATTCGTCAACATATTTGACAGTTGTGGTGTTGACACTTTTTGTACTTTATTATTTTGAATTTTAAAGTGAATACCTCTTGTTTTATATTTTTACCTATTTAATAAAATCTGTTTTTTTTAGAACAAAATTAGTGTGTTTTATTTCAAAAATGTCACGTAAGAATTTAAATAGTCGTTGTAAAGAGATGGTAATACCACAGAATAATAAACAATCAGAATGCCCACTCTCCATGGAAAATTAAGTACGCGCATCTCTTTCGCGCGGATGTTCCGCCATGTTTTAGAGGGATTTCCGCAGTGTTGTTTATGTGGTGTGCGTAGAAAAATTAACCCGGTTTAATTGACTTACGGCAATCATAGACATACTATACAATTATATTAACATTGTTAAATATAATAACATAAATATAATATATTTAAACATAAATATAAACAATTACATAACCTCACAAATCATATGTCCTGTGTTATGTGGTTCCTTCTAAAACATGGCGCGCGTGCTGAAAAACTTCAAAGGCGGCATCCGAGAATGGGCATTCTGATTGTTTATTATTCTGTGCTTTTGCAATAATTATGTGATCTATTTGATTTAAAATGGAGTCAGGATTTTTTTATACTTTGGCAACTATGTTAACTTCGATCTCTGACGTAGATAATGACGTTCATCGGTATGTAAATTAGATGAAGTATATTAATACTGATAAGTATACTCCATTCGCTTAGCTCGGGTACATTTTGACAGATTCATTGTCGGAAACCTACAACACAACAATTCCTACTTCTCAGTATTAATAGCTCAAATATACTACTATTGCAGACTTCTTTCTTTGAAAAAAGAAGAATTATTCTAAATAGTGGGAGTGTATACTAAACCCATCTAATTTTGGGTAGTATATATTTAAAAAATATATTTCAGTTGTTATAATTTAACATAACTATTTATTATATGGTACAGATAAATAAATATTGATTGTTGGTAATTCGCAAAGTTATATTTTATTTACTATTTAGTTTGTTTTCTATTAATATTGGCTATGAGTACGTGTGCTTGGTTGTATAGTAATTTCCAGCCACTTTTAGTCTGTCAAAAAGTAACTAACTTCACAAAAAAATAATTACTAAATTCGCTAGACAGTTCGGACTGGGAATAGCGAACCGAGTATAGTAATTGTTGTGTTGTAGCGTTGTAGGTTTCCGACAATAATTCTGTCAAAATATGCCCGAGCTAAGCGAATGGAGTATATCTTGATTATGTTGTATAAGTAATATTATGAAGTATAATATGATGTCATAGTATTACCAAAGAATATAGATATATTACCGCAGGATAATAAACAATAAAAATCCCCACCCTGCTTGAAAAAATAAGTGCAATATACACGCATCTCGTTCGCGCAGATGGAATCAGCCATGTTTTAGTCGGAACCAGTGCTGTTCAGTGGCATTTATTAACCCGGCTTAATTTATTTACGGCAACTATAGACATAATATGCACTATTTTTTTATTCGTACTTTTAGTAGAATGGATTAAATTATTTCAAATGTACTAAATTATTATTCTCTAAAAATTTAAATTACAGTTATGTGATAACTTGTCACGATATGTTTCTTTTTGTAAGGTTTCTAATGTAATCTTTTTAATAATAAAAATATTTAAAGAAAATAATTGATCTACTATAATAAGTTCATGTTATAATGTACCTATGTCATTATAGTTTTATTCTTACGACTTGGTCAGTGGTATTTAATTACAGTGATATTTTTCTCCGAATTAATCACTATTTTGTTTGATTACTGTATGTTTTATGTATCACTAATGTGTGTGATCATTGTATGTATGTCTCACTTGTTATCAAAATAGGAAAAACAATTTTTATTCGAAAATGGTTGTAGAAATCGTAGTTATTAGTTTTCAATAATTGTTTTTGCTCATTATAATAATTATTAAAATGAAAATAGACTCGTTTCATGGAGATAATTTATTTTTCATTATGTAGAAATATCTAAACTTTTGTACATTAAAATTCCAGAATGGAAACTGTTTTAAAATTATTTTGATAAATTATTATTTTAGAAGTTATCCTAGAGGTAGAATACCTACTCATAATGTGGATAATTAAGTAAGCAGATATTTAAAAAGAGATAAGAGTTATCGTTGAATTTTAAAATAGAGTCTACAATAATTTAATGTTTTAGGGAATTTACCATAATCTTAAATTTTATTTCTTCAGGCATGGCAAGGACCAAAATAATGCTTTGATGTAATTCAATAACAAAATTCTTATCAGCAATTCAATTTTTCCGCCAGTGGAATATGGCTTCAAAACTTCCTGTCATGCGTGATTTCATTCATGAAATGTACAGGGGCAGCGCCATATTGACAATAGGCGGCTGCACTTGGTGAAAATGGAGGTTTTTTAAGTGTATTAAATCGTGTAATAGCAGACAGCGGCAATGGTGAACGTTCTGAAGGAGTGCATTAACGAGTGGTTGTGGCTATAGATCGCCGGGGTTGCCGGGTTGTCGCGAACCGCATCGGATCGTGCAAGTTGTGTGCAGCAGAGAACTAGCAAAGGCTCGTAGTGGCCACTAATCCCCTTAGAAGGCCATCATAGAGGCTTCTTTAATCTTATTAACGGTAACTAGATTTAATTCTGGACTAAAGAGAATATAAGAGCATGTCAGTGGTCAAAGTTAATCACCACACCCAGCTTACTACGATGGTGGCCGTGGCCGTTGCGGGAAGTGTCAAATTGTAGGTGTGTGTTTTTCGCGATATTGTAGGACGCGGCGTGAATGAATATCGTGGCCCCATCAAGTAGTCCACGACCATGCAGTGTTGTCAGTCAGATGAGGCTCGGGAACAGAAGAGAATTAACGCCGAAATTGAGAAACAACTCCGTCGAGACAAGCGAGATGCCAGACGAGAACTTAAATTATTACTTCTCGGTAAGTAATTTGCTTGACTCTAAACTTTTTAAAAATAGGTTCATAGTTATTTAATAGCGGCTAGATTGCTAATAATCTAAGATTACTATTTTAACGGTACACTGACCGGATGATTGTAGAATTAATGTAGGTGTTCTTATCTATTCTTTCGAATTAACCCTAGACTACTGACGATAGAATACTAACTACCTGTTACTATTAACAATTATAAATTTTCTGCACAAAAATAACGTCTAGCTGAAATTTATTATACTTATCATAGTTATTATTAAAATGACATTTCCAGTAACAAAATAATAGTTTATAGCTTTGAGCGACACAATGATCAAATTTTTCTATACTAAAAACTTTCCATAGTGTTCTCAATGGCTGGCTGTCATTAAGCACTTTTTCAACTAACCCATTTCACACTTAACCTGGCTAAATGTGATTTTTCTTTTGTACTTAATATTTTCCTAAACTTTCTTCAGTATCCTGCCTGAAACTCTTTTTATGGTAGTTTTTAGTGTTTGACCCTATATTTCAACATTTCTGTTGTGGTTTGATTTTCTCCTGGACATTTATTTTTCATTTGTTTTAGAGGTTCTTACTCTTATGTTAGGCCTCTGGAAGGAATTCCTGTCCCATGTTCATTATCTTTCTTGTAATTCCTTGCCGTGCATTAGAAAAAAAAAATGATTTTAAAGTTTAATCTCTGATCTTTGTTTTTTCTTTGCTGTTCAGAGGTGTGCAAATCTCACATAAGTTTTCAGATGGTGTAAAGTTACTACATAAATAAAATTATCCTATATGCAAAATGATAAAAATGTTCTCTGGCATTTTGGCAATCTTAGATAACCTCTTTTTATTGGAACACAGGATGACAGAATTAAAGTGTAGGTGTTCTTATCAATTTACTCAAATTAATGTGTTGCCATGTTCATGTTTTTGATAACAGGTCATATCTTAAGGTTTCCTTTCCTTGTGAAACTAGCATAATCCATATTTACATAAATTCTGAAGTTAAGCCATAAATCACCTCAAAAATTTCCAAAAAGTTGTCAAACCAGTTGTTGATTATAAGCATACAAAAAATCATAGCTTGTTAAATTTAAATTTTGTAAACCCAGCAACTTATAAATTAATTCCCAATAAAAATAGTAAATACTATTCAAATGCCACAAGAAAATAGCTTCAGAAGAATTTTATAAGCTCTGTTGAAGCTTAAATTTGATCTAAACACATGTATAGAAAAATGTATTTGTTGGTCTTTATCTGGGAGTATAAGTATACATTAAGATACTAAAAAAGTTTCATCTTTTAGTCTTTTCCTGATGACTGTGTTGTAGGCTTCACAGGAAGGCATGGCATAAAAAGTGAATATTTTTTACAATCATAACCCATCTGTTTCTCAGCATTTATTTTTTTACTCAAATACTCCTAATTAAATATTTCCTATAATTATAATGAAACATGCATATATTTTAAATTTATTTTTATAAAAGTTCAGGTCGAGTACTTAGATTAGTAAATAAAGTATTTTATTTTCTGAGAAGTTAACACATACATATAAGTGATACAAGACATTCACTTAAAATATCATTGTTTCCTATTTTTTTAATTAAGTAGTACTTGTCTTTAAGATGTTTAATATAATTTACAGTAATTGTACATAATGTAATAATAATACAAGTTTATTAGAAAATATAGAAGTGTTAAAATGAGTCAATTCAAAATGAAATATAATAGTTCTAAAAATGATCAAGTATTTGTTAGTTTTTGTTTTGTTACTTGGAACTCTAAATCTTTGGATACACAGACACACACACACACCTGTGTATCCTTTATCCAATATCCTTTAGCAACATGCCCTACCTAAGTGTCACCCCCAGGTCTTCTTTGGCCTTCCTCTCCCACTCCTCCCAGGAAGTGGTACAGATAAGCTATTCTTCATAATATCATTGAACATGCTCTAACCATATTAACCTATGCTCTCATGTTGGCATTAAATGTCACTAATTTTATTGTTTTTTGTCACTCCACTCATCTATATAAGCATTCTCATTTTCACAACATGTATTTGTTGTTCTTCTTTCTTTGTAACTCTCCAACTTCAATTTTATTGGAATTGTTCTATCAATCACACAACACACCACTAGTTTCATTTCAACCCTAATACTACTGCATGCATGTCCTTCTACTTCCCCATTACTTTGTAATACTGATCCTAGGTAATTAAAATATATTACTTTTCACAATCATTTCACTTAGAATCCACCAATTAAAAATATGAATGGTAGCTGGGCAAGAAGCAATATTCAAAAGGCCAACATGTTTGCTGACCACCTAGAAAATACTTTTCAACCAAATAAAGAAATAATTAACTGGAAGCTCCCTGATTAAGATGAAATGGAGATAAGCCCTGTAACTCCAAAAGAAGTATATTTGGAAATAAAAGAAAATATAAATCCAAAGAAAGCTCCTGGATTTGATCTAATTACTGAGGAAGTCTTAAAGCAACTTCCAACGAAAGATATAATAAAATTAACACATCTTATAAACGCTTCCTTTAGGCTGAAGTACATACCAAAAATATGGAAGGTGACAGAAATTATAATGACACTAAAACCAGGAAAACCTCCACAAGCTTCTTCATATAAGCCTATTTCACTGTTACCTGTCATGTCTAAATTATACTAAAAATTACTCTTAAATAGACTAAAACTGATTATAGAGGAAAAAATCTAATTCCTAATCATCAGTTTGGGTTTAGAGCAAGCCACTTAACAATAGATCAGGTGCATAGAATAACAGATATATAGCATTTTTCATATAAAAATGCTTGCACATCATTCAAGATTTACTACCTCAGAACCCCACAGCATTGCCAAAAGATCAGAATAATTAGTAAATCATGAATTTTTAAAATGTCTGATTTCTAAAATAATTTTTAAAATTATGTATTTTAAATTTTAAACTTTTTAGGGCTTAATAGTGAAAACGTCCCACCATTATTTCTTGTTCAAAATAATCTATCTTATATGAAAGCATATCAGCTTTCTACAGACTATTTGTTTTGGCATAGCATAATCACATTACATAACAAAAATTAGTTTTTAAAGCTATTAATTTAAATTTAATATGTATTTATAAATACAATTTATTAATATATATTATATTATGATCAAATTGTGTAAGAAATCAAAACAAACAAAATTCTTACTCTAAAAAAACGGCAATACTTTATACACTTTTGCCACACTGAACTGTCAACTGGACCAGGCGATGGCATATCAAATTGAATGAAACAAAATCTGTTCATGTCAATTTTACTAACAAAAGAGAACAACATATTCCGGTTAGTATAAATAGAAACCAAATGCCTTATGCAAATAGGGCAAAATATTGAGGTATGACATTGTACTCATATTATTATATTATAATACTTATATTATTATGATATAGTATATCAACATCATTACAATACAAGAAATAAAAGTCATATTTTTATACCATATTCCAGATTGTGTGTTACACAACTTAATACAATATATTATAATCTGTATAATTGTTTTTTAAACCTAAACAAAAATATTGATATTAAGGCAATGAATTCTAAACAATTTTATAAACTAGCAAAACACTTCCTGCTGGAACACTGTTTCTATAGTATACAGGAATTTGTTTGTTTGAGCTCCTAGTGTGGTCTTTTTTTATGAAAACTATATTATACCTTACTGAATTGTTTTTTTTTTATAATTTTATATATCTAATTTTCACTGTATATGTTTTATTATGTGTTCTTGTATTATTTCTTAGTTCTTAGTATACAAAAGTGACTTATTTTGATTGTGACATGACATGTAGTGTTTACTATGTAAAAATTGTCGATAAACCTATCTATCTATCTATCTATCATATAACTTTATCTAATGTTTTCGTATACTCTCTGAATACCATATATACAATATTTGTGTATTAATTTAATTTTTACCATTTGTTAAAATTGTAAATAGTTACATATCAACTATAGTTTATGGTTTAACTTGATTTCAGGTTCTAGTTCTTTTTCAATTTTCTATATTTAACTTTTTTCTCTGTTCTGTCACTTGTCTAAGTAGATAATGAAACTGGTTAGTAGTTGAACTCTTCACTTATGATATAGCTTATTTTTTGTAAAAGGTAAATTTATATCAGATCACATTCGTATCATGATATGATAGTTTCTATCTATTGTCATAGATAATTCCATTATGTTATAAAGTATTACTTGTGAAATATTTTAATTATTGATAATTAAAAGTTTAGTAATATTTAAGAGATAACAACTCTATTTTTCAAAACATCTGTTTTATTTTTATTGGTCTAAATCTAAAATACGCTGAGAATCTTCTAGAATGACAGTTTATTCTTATAATTTATAGAAGCACATAAATAAATATCTCTGGCAACATTCACATAATTTTTAATTATGATTTCAAACTTAATTACACTGTCAAAATAGCATAATAAGTATTTGTGTTGGTCAGCATCATTTGCATACAAAACATACATTGGTACCTACCACTTCACTTGTACCAAAAGAACATAATTTTCTAACTTGATATCATATTTTGTATGTGTATTACTGACTTTCCATGTTCTACTTGTAATCTTACACTTTTGCAAATATGCAAAAAAGTGAAAAATATTCGCTATATATGCACCAATTTACCCAAAAATATGCATTAAATATGCATTTCTTTCAGAAAATATGCATTAAATATGCTTTTTTTAGAAAATATACATACTGTCAATGGAAACATATTTAATAATGGTATATTGATTTATGTTTATTTTAATAATTAGAAAACAATATAAATAAATTTAAAAACTAAGTAGGTAATTGTAATGTACTACTTAATTAATTATAGTAAATATTTAAATACCAAGGACAACTTTGATGATTCTAATTAAGTAATAGTTTTTTGAAGCAACCTAAAATTTGATTAAATGAATGAAAGTTGTGCTGAAGAATGTTGTTTTTAAAAATTTGTTTAGCATTTAGCAAAGATTGGGAACTTTCATCTGTTAAAGCATCAAATGTATTTTTAAATCTACGAAATAGGCTGAATAGAAAAAGGAACTTCCAACCATGTTCTCCATCACGTTTTGGAATGGATTATGGTGGAAGTGGAATATTTGGAAGCATTTCCTTATAAAGTTAAATTCTCATAGAAGTTTTGAGGAATACCTTTTTTGCTTGATATGAGGGAGTTTGCAAAAGGAAACTATTTTCTAATTTCTTCTACAACTCTGTTCGTTCCATATGTTACGTTATTTTTGGCATTTTAAAATCAAAATGTTAACAAATTAAACCAGCTCGACTGACAATGCTTAAGTTTTCACTTTCACTTTTGAGAACAAAATGATTTGCAAAAGGACAATTCTATTCATTCCCCACACAAGAAACTTTTGAAACTTATTTTTATTACTTACAGGATTATAATTGGTTACCTGCTGCAACCATACCAAGAATATTAGGTAGTATGTATAGGTACTATTGGTAATAGAACTGAAATATTTATATAAAATGAACATTCAAAATTCCAGTTACTTAGTCATACCATTATCTTTATTTAGATAAATACTATTTAAAATCCACAATTTGAAATAAATTGACTTTTATGCTTTTTGTGCAATTTTTTGTATAAATATGCAAAATCCCCAGATATTTGCATAAAATGTGCAATATATGAATTTTTCATATTGGTCTAGTCTAGTTATAATGAATGCTAGATAGGTATATTAGTGCTGAAAAAATACCAAGTATATATTAAAGAGGCTAGTTTTTCATTATCAGGTGTGAAAAAAGTGCCCCTTGAATTTCTAGATTTGTAGCAAACATTGCATCAGCTCCACAAAATACCCCAAATTTAAGGTAAATGTACTAGTAGTTGACATTATAAGAAGAAGAAAACTATTATTTAGCCTCAAACTGATGCTGTTGAACTTTACTAAAAAATATATGTATATTCAGGTAATCTAATCCTTCCTAAATATTTAACAAATAAATTTTTGGACAATTATGCTTTCTAAATATTTTTATAAAATTTACAAAAATTGTTGCAAAAGTGTCAGTAGTTGACACAACAAAATGAAAAAAAAAAAATAGTAGTTGACACATCCAAGGTTTAGTAATTGACACTCATATATGTTTTGATAACTTTATTAAGAATATGTAAGTATAAGAGAACTTTATTAATGTTATGTAGTTATAATGTAATAAAATATTTAAATTCAGAAATTTAGCCATCTACATCCACTGAATCTGGAAATTGATACTTCAAAATGAAGTTTTACTGTCATCACAATAATTCATACCCACAACTTCTGCTTCAAATTATTGAAAATTTTTTGTATTACACATACAAATATATATACATATATTCTTTTTTCTTTTTCAGGGAGTTTTGCAAGTGCATAATCCCCCTCCATATAATTTACATGATCAGTATTTTCATTATCACTGCAATCACCTGTTTCAAAAGATATATCATCAAGACTGCTACCAGATTCAACCCATGATTCATTATCATCACTTGATGATTCTTCCCTTTTGTTAATAACTTTATTTTTTTCTTCACTTCCAGTTTCTGTTTTTAACAAAGTTTTTTTCTTCTCTTTTCTTTTGCCTCTCTCCTGCTTTTTTCTGTTCTTCTTCAAGAAGCTTTATCTTAATTTCTTTATTTTCATGATAAGTTTGCCATTCTTTTGAACTAGCCATGGAAGAAACTTTTTCCACTCTTCTTTTATTTACTGAGGATACTCTGGGTTCAAAACTAAACAGTATTGGTTTAAAAGGAGAGGGTATAATTTCATTTGATGTAGAAGGTGTAGGTTATTTTTTAATTGCTGAAGACAGAACTTGTGATTGTGTTGATAAAGAAGCACAAGTGTCTTGAATAATAGCAAAATTGTTACATTGAAGATTTTTCCTAGTGGAACTAGTGTGACCTTCCACAACATCCGAAATGTTTCTATCTGTGTAAGCCTCAGATTGGTTTAATAACTCACCTATTTCATACTGTTCTTCAGTTGGCTTGTCAGGATTGTCATCTAGGTAAATGTCTTTAACATTAGGCTTGTCTTCAACATTTGGTATGGCATCATTATAAGTGCCATCGTTAATAATGTCTTCATCATCTGGTGTCTTCACACCTTGTTTCGCTTTCAAATTGTTTATTTCTTCTTCTAAGTCTGTATTTTATGCAAATGTTTTTGTAAAAGTGAAAGAGAGATAAATCTTCATTGTCATTGTTCCATTCCATCATCAGGGATTAATTTGTTGGTAAATAGTTTTGTCATTCTTTCTTGCCAATAATTTGTTTCCTTTGAAGGAAAATTAAAATATTAAAACTTTTAGTACCTGAACAATTCTCATAAGCTGCTTTTGTTGTATAGGAAAACTGGCTCTGGATACATCAATAATCCACTTCACTAATATCTTCTCCTGACCTTCCTTCAGATATGGTTTTGGTATAACAAAGTCACTCTGGGTATGCCATACTTCTTTGCTATTGTTGAAATTGGCTTTCCACATAGTACTTCCTCAATAGCTTTCTCCATAGCTTCTTCTGTGTATTAGAACATCTGTCCTTTTATAGTGGCATATATTTTTAACTGAAAATTTAAATTTTTATTTGAGTAGTTAACACCCAAAGTGTTTCAATAGTTGACATAGTGTCAACTACTAGATAGAGTGAATACATTTATGTGATATTTAAAATTTTAGTATACACATTATATGCATTATACATTGAAAATTACAATAAAATGTTTTTACACTCTTAGTATAAAATGGCTAGTAGTTGACACTTATGTCAACTACTAGTATTTTTGTGTATTTGTGTGTTAGTAATTGACACCAAGCCTAAATTTTGTTTTAAGAATAAAACAAACTTAAACATTAAAGGTGTTACCTTAATATTCATATAATATAGTGATATATCTAAAACTATAGTCATTCACAATTTAATCAATAAATAGAATGTTTATAAAATTACCTTCTTAATACTTTTGTTAAGAAAACTTGTTGCCACTTGAAGTTCACACTTCACTTTGACAAAAATTTGGTAAGAATTTTCTGTTTCAAGGTTTAATAATTCTATATTTACAGAGAAGATGTATCGAAGACACTAGTTAACTATGATGGTAATAGTTACATTAAAAATAATTATTAGAAGAGCTTATTATTTATGCTTAAAATGGAAAATGTCAACTACTGGTACAGTGTCGAGTACTAGTGCATTTACCTTAATTATCTTACAATAATGGCTTATTTTGAAGATTTCTTCATAGTACTTTTCTTTGCCTAAACATATTATTCAATATTAGTATGCTATATTTTTTTTTTTAATAAAAAATGGTTAAAAAATCTGTTTACTACATATTTTTTTCATTAAAAGATTTTTCAAAATACTTGACTGACTTAGATAAAAAAGTTTTTTGATATGAAAATGTTGCTTGGCATAGTATGTCAATGCATATAATATAATACATAGAGCAATTAAAAATTAAGATAAGCTATAGAATCACATGGCCTAGTTGCTGCTGAATTATGCTTTGAAATGATCAATGCAATATGTTTAACTAATACTTTTGGGAAAATTAAGTAAAAATTAATATTGTTCTGAAGCTATTTTCTTGTGGCATTTTAAAGTAATTACTATTTAAATGGAAATAAGTCACAGGTTTAAGTAATTTTATTATTTCAATTTCCACTTCAGAAATTGTTCTCAAAATACAAACATAGTAAATTAACAAATTTTGTTTTTTTTTTGTTACTTGGTGATAAATTCTTCTAATTTAATTTTATCTGACTCAGTCATATTGATAATTCAGACATACATTATACATTTTAAAGTAGACAACTTTAAAATGATATTGCCAATACTGTTGAGTTGCATTCCTGGGACAACTTTACTTATAAGATAGTTCATTCAATTACATGAAATCAATTTTAACTTAAAAATATCCATCAGAAAAAAATCATAGCATGTAATTCATTTTTAAAAAAACCAAAAACATGCCATGATGACAGTAAAATTCTCTTGTTAGTAATTCCATAGTAAATATTGTGGCTTATTCCCATTTAAATAGGAATTAAGTAAAAATTATGTTCAACGCAGCAATTATTAATGAATATTACTTTTATGTACATGTAAAAGTAAATAGCTAGTATCAAAGCAAACACATCAAAATGTCCATGGAATACAAAGTTTTTCCCCATATACATAAACATAAATTTTGATTGAATTTTAAAGAGACATACCATTATAATGCCTGATCATTCAGCAATGAACTCATCTCTATTTCATGTCATCTCAATCATATACCATACATGCTCGATGGGATTAAGATCTGGCGATTGTGCTAGACACAGTACAAGTATACTATTCTCATTATGAAACCAACCGCTTACTGTTGCAGTATATGGCCTGGTATTAGTGTGCATTTAGCGCAAATCAGGACAGAGCATATAAATGTTGCCACTGGTGTTTCGTTATGGACAGACAGAATAAGCAAATTATATATATATATATATATATATATATATATATATATATATATATATATATATATATATATAATACTAACATTATATTGCAAAAAATGAGGCTGACCATTGAACCTAATATACTTCTTAAACTTTTTAAGAGCAGTAATTCTTTAACAATAAAGTACATTTACTTACACTCTATAATAGACTTTCGTTGATAATATGTTAGAAGTAAAAACGGTACACTACAGTCTATAGTCTGGTGTTTGACACTTGTCCTAATAGTCTTCATTATTTCTCCATAGGTGCTAACAACTAAAAACAAATTAAAAGAAAAGGCAAAAAAGTATTTTTGAAGTGAGTATATTTTTAATAATTCCTAGCTGAGCGCTTTCGGCTTTAAAAAGCCATCATCGGAGCTATGGTCAATTTATAAATACCACTACAATGGAGAGATCTCATTTCCTTATATGTTGAAATATTGATTTTTTATTTAATTACTTAGTTGTTAAAATTCTTAAAAAAAAACATAAAAAACCGACACTGGACTTCACAGACACATTAAAAAATTAAAAAATTTTTTGTCATGGTACGGGTGTAAGAACCCGACCATTGTTTGCTGTGAGGAGGTAGACAGAATAGAACTAGAATTGAGTTTACACACAGTTACTTTGAAGTAAAGTTTGAATACACCAATATGTCATTCAACAATGAAATTATGTCGTCATAAATTGTATTCACATCCTCGCCTATCCTATCTTATATTTCTTTATTATACCTAATTCACAAGTTGTTCTTTTCATGGACCCAGAATCCTCAGTAATATTTTTCTTTCAAACTGTCTAATACATTGACATATTTCTGTGTTATGACATCTGTTTCACCTGATTATTGTTTTATATACCCAGAGTTTTGTTTCCCAGTGTATATCTCGCGATTATGTGGCCCATGACAAAATGGGTTTAATACATCTTCTATTTATTTCAAGTTCTTCAATATTTCTGACCAGGTATATTCTGAAGTACAGTGTGTTAAGTTTTGGATTAGATATTGTACACTACATAAAGCGCTAAAATCAGCAACATTGCCTCGTACAAGGTAATTGTAATTCCCGATCTCTGACACCACCACAGAAAATCATTTAGTATTAACACATAAAATTTGTATATGTATATACAAAAATATGTATAACAGTATTATTGGTTTTTACTATTACACAACATACAAGAAACAACACTTCTCAATACGTAAACAAACTTCAGTTTTTATAGGCTCACAGATAAACTATTTAGTACATGGCAGATCTCACAGAAATTTGGATTGTGAAAAAGCCCTTCATTTCGCTTCTTGTTGGGTGATGTATTCTGTGGTTGTAGCATCTATATGAACACATAACAACGGAGGGACTGCACATCTTGCATTACGGATGTCAGGTTCAGTTCTTGAGAGTACATAAACTCGATAAAAATACTGTTTTTAAAAATGTGAAGAATTTTTTATGGCTGAATTAAAAATTAAAGCGCAATTTTTCTAAAAGGATCACACAAAAAATATACTCTTGAAAATAAAAAGTAATTCCTAATAAAATAAGAAATAATTCTTTATGCCTTACAAAAATGATTCAAATATTTGACCTTTTACGGCTGAACAGTATCCCAATCTGTCACTTTTCTGGTGACACTTGAGCGTGACATTTTCTGCAATTTTTGAGGCAATAACAACTTTCAAAATTTTTAACAATATTATGAATTGACTGCACTCAAGGAATTGGTCCCCTCTAAAAAAATACAGAAAATAAATCTACACATTTTCGTCCAGAATTATCACCATAAAACCATTTTATTATTTGAACCTTTTTTGCGGGCTTATAAACAGATATGTTGTTTACAAAATAAATCAAAGATCTACCCTGTTAAAGCTTTAAACAACCACTGTATAATGACTAATTATTAGCAACAGGTCAACAAAGCAGGTTCATAGAAAGTTGACACCACGCATTGTTGCCATTTATAGGGTGTATATTATTTAATTTAAATCTTAACCTACTGTATGTGAATTTGTTCACATGTTCTTTATTGTATATAAAATATCATGTATTGTGTTGTTGAGTTTATCTATTTGATCTGGTTTGTACAAGTAATTTTGTTTTATTTATATTAATTGCTAGTATATATATATATATATATATATATATATATATATATATATATATATATATATATATAATGTGTGCAAACATTTTTGCATAATTTTAAAATTATACTTTCAGTCGTAATGAAAAAAAATTTGTTTGTTTTGTTTTATAAGGTTTCTTTTAGAACATCTCTATACTCGCCTTCTCTGGCATTTATTACTGCTTGACGACTATTTCCCATACTGACAATTACCGTTCTTATTTCATTTTTATCAATTTGATCCCTAATTTCAACTAATCACAAAAACAGTTTATCTAATGTGTTTGGTGCGTTAGGTAGTTGTCATAGTCGTCTCCGTACGATGTCCCAAACATGTTCTATTGGGTTGAGGTCGGGACTTCTTGCAGGCCAAACCATGGTAGGAATCACAACCTCCTGACAATATTGCTGCACAATTAACCCAAAATATGCGCATATATATGCACTAATTCTCCTGACGATATTGCTGCACAATTCTTGCAATGTGTGGTCTGACTTTAT